GGGGGGGCTGCACCCCCCCCCCCCCACAAGAACCCTGTGACCTGGCCTTTTGACAAGATGAACCTACCTCGCAGACCATCACAATCCTCCAGCATCCTTCAACATGGATTCACATGGTACGGTATGCCCTTGTGAGGGGGATTGATATTGAAGAGGCGAATTTCTATGACGATTCAAAAGTCCTGATACATTGACACTGATTTTTCGAAGATTTCTTTTATGTTAAGGCCTGGGTTCGCCCACTTTACAGGACCCTTTTGGCTGGGTTCGACCGTTGTAACTAGTAAAACGGAGGGTTCACAGGGTTCACCCTGAATTTCGGAATGCAAAGGGGTATATCTGGCCAGGAGCAGTACTCCAGGACATCGCCGGCGCTGTCATCCTGAATTCAAAGTTGATGTTCAGGCTAGGCACAACGGATTGTGGCGGCCTGATGCCATCAGCCCCGAGAATCCCAGAGAGTCAGGACATGATGAAGAGGGGTTCCCCATGTTTGTCTCACCGCGTGCCCTGGCAGTGGAGAGACCGACACTGTCAGGGAGTTTCACCAAATTGCTGCAGAGCGTCCAGTACTCTTACAAGGACCCGGTGGGCTCAGGCAACCTGGGCTTTGCCGCGTGGAATTGAACTTAGCATGCTCCCTCATCCGCAATAAATCACACGGCATGATTGTTTTTGGGGCCGGGCGCGGCTGTGCAAGAAGCGCTATGCATGCAGCGAAAACAGTCTGTGCTTGGGCTGTCCCTCCTAACGATGGCTTCCGTAAGATTTAGCCGCGTGAAACCGAGTTCAGAGGCTCTTTGGTACAAGCTTTGGCTCGTAAGGGTGTGCATGATCAAGCACTCTTGCCATTGTCTGCAGGACAAGTTGGGCTCGGAATGGCCCGGAGAACGGTAGATAGAAGTCTTGGTTTTATGCCTAAAGCTTCTGCAGGATGCAGCAGGCCATGCCGGGCCTTCGGCGCAGCCTTCAACTGGCACTGTGCTGGAAGAGCTTTGCTTCCAGCTCTCGAGCCGCTTGGAGCGCTCGGCCGTTGTGGCGAATCGGCCCGAAGGCACCCTTGGCACCCTTTGGGTGGCTTTTGAATGCCTTGGAGCGTCGGCCTTCGCTCGTCTGATGGAGCCTGTTGCTGTCAGGCAGATGCGGTCCGTGTCACAAACGTCTGAGGCTCATTCGTGGGCTTGTGGTTCAGCACTGGTGGAAGTTGCCACTGCAAGCGTGCAACCTCAGGATATGGAGAGAAAGCTTTGTAACCAGGACGGGCGGCGCGGGGAGGCAAGTAGATTTCACAGTGTTTCACAGCCTACAAGCCAAGTAGAAAATGATCAGCATGAAGGCAGAAGGCCTGCTCTTGGGAACTTGGCTCCAAGGCTTCTGTAGGCTTCGTAGGCGTCGTAGGGGAGTAGTGGGGAGCATGTGCTGAACATGGCAGCGGAGACGGCCAAGCTCCTGGAGCGGCAGATCGCTGCCCTGGAGCGGGCGCTCTTTGTGGGTTTTGGGGAGCTGAAGGCCACCCTGGGCAAGCACTCCGAGGCCCTGAACCTCGAACACAGGAACACGCTCCTGGAGGCCGCTGAGCAGCTCGGTGGGAAAGTGTGGGAATCTGGAACTTGCAGAAACTCCACGCCCTGTTGCCGCAACCCTGCCAGCGACAAGGAAGCTTGGTGAGCCGCCTCCTTGCGACTGCGGAGCTTGGACGGAGGGCCAGGCATGGGAAGGCCGGTTCAGTGCAAAGATGTCCCACGCATGTCCTACGCATGTTTCAGTGAGAGTGCGCTGCCATTTGTGGGAGCTTTTCGCAGGAAAACTTCCAGGCGAACTCAGCACAGAATGCTCGAATCTCAACCTGCTCTGGTGCAGAGTACTGTCTTCAGTTCTGTTGTCTCCGAGGCCTCCTTTCAGAACCTCGCAAGCGTGCTGTGACGTTCACCGCGATCACACCGCTGCAGGAAGACGAGCGGAATCGAGCACGGGATCGGCACACGCTTGCAACGCACAGAATATCAGTGCTGAACGCCGTGTCAGAGGCCAAGAAGTCCGTTCCTGCACAAGCGCTGCAAGCCATGGAGCCGAGCCAAAGTGTCTTCTTTGACGCGAGCACACTCAAGAAGAAGCTCAAGGAGGATTTGTGCAAGGACAGATTGCCATCTTATTCTGTTGTCCTTTCTCTACTGGCATTAACGAGCGTTTCAGATGAGGAGAGCTACAACGTCAGTGATTACTATCGCACTGAAGGATTTTGTCGCAATCTCAGCCCTAAATATAGCCGGGTTTGTCGTGCAGACACTACCTACGACCTCGTAAACGCAATGCTAAGGTCAACAGGTCGCGAGAAGTCGCATCTTCGAAATCATCACTTTCATGATCCTGGTGTGCAATGCAGTTTGGACCGGTCCCTGCCTCGAAGTTTGTTCGCAGTTGATCTTGGCTGTTGTCATGTTGCCAACAATGTCAACCACACAGGCATTGAGATTGAAATCAATGACGCGCCTGTTATTCTACAAGCGCATGTGGCCATCATCCTGACTGAAAATTTGTTTGTCCTTTTCTTCACCTTTGAGCTTGCCGTGCGCTTTGGTGCCTTCAGAAGGAGACTCGACATGACTCGACACCTCGAGAATTCTGCAATGAAAGCCTGATTCACCCGCACATTGTAAGAATGTGTGCTTGTGTTAAGACTGTTAAGAGTTCAAGATCCTTTGCTGCCCACTCATCAGACTTCCAAGTGCAAATGGACGGGGGCCAATTCAAGCTATTTACATGAGGGTCGCAGAAAGTCATTGTAAGTGGAGTGTGTACTAGTAGCTGCAAGCACTCGAAGAGATTCGACAGACGAATCTTGATGTTCACTTTGGATTCCCTCTTGTGGCAGTGGTTGATGCGGTCGATAGCAGTCGGCCACGTTCCGGTGTTAGTGCACGCAACAGATTACATGCAGATGCAGGTGACTGCAGCAAGGTGGGGTATTCTTCTGAGGAAATGCGACGCTTGCCGCGATGGCTGGTTTGCCTTTGACACGGCACTTGTCATGTTGATGTGGTTTGAGACGTGGTTCCCAAGCAGCAACTTCTGATTCGTCAGCGAGGTTGTTCCAAGGGTCTGTTTGCTTTTGCGCGTCTACACCTGCCTGATGAGCAGGTTCCTGTCCTTGGTGCAGTTCTTCGCCAATGACCCGTCTAGCTCTTCCAGCTCCTTGTCTTCGAATGATTTGAAATGCATCTTCAGGGAAAAGGTGTGCTGAGATGTGCCGAGGCTTCCGTCTGATGCGGCTACTGCGCTTGACGCGTATGGCAAGGATGGCTCGACTGCTTCGAAGCGTGCCCGAGCTGCTGATCATTGTCCGCGCCATTGCCATAGCCTTGCGGTCTGTCTTCTTCTTGATGGTCCTTCTCGTGGGCCTGGTCTATGTGTTTTCCCTCCTCTTCAACCAGCTTCTCGACGGTAAGAACCAGCCGCCAGGAGCCGCCCCCAATGACCATTGCCGTTCCATCGTTGCACTAAGTACCACTCCTCTCTTTGGGTACCTCTTGACAGGATCGATGGCGCATGAAAGCTTCGGCAGCTTACCGCAGGCCATGAACACGCTGCTGATGGCTGGAGCGCTTCCTGACCAGTCTGCGCTGGTTGAAGACGCCGGCGCCTTTCATTTCCTGCTGTATCCACTGATGCTGCTCTACATGTTGCTGGCGTCGCTGACAGTCATGAACATGCTGGTGGGCAGCCTGATCGGCAAGTTCTGTAGAGCCAACTTGTCATACTAGAGAGCGTCCAGCTGGCATAGTGCTGGATCTTGCAGTTTACGTTTGAGTAAGCTTCGGAGTTTCTGAACATACCTTCCGGAATGTTTTTAGAAAATTAGAGAGATGTGGGCTTTCTCGACATCAGGCCCCGATATGAGGTACAGGCTGTTCTTCGTACTTTGGCTTCGCGGTGACCTTTCAGCCGGGTTGCAAGGAACTTCGTAGATGTTTGCGGGAATTGAGGCGGTTCGCATCAGCAGATTCTGGCGATAGCTTCCGCTTTCTGCTTCAACGGCCAAGTGAACAGTTGTGTAGATTTTTAAAGCCACGCATTCGGGAAAGATTGTTTACCTCCCATGAATGATTGCCTCACCCAGGCATCCTATGCGAAGTAGTCAGCGTGGTGTCTGCCGTGGAAAAGGAGGAGATACTTCTGAAATCCGTCAAGACACATTTGAAGCGGCTGCTCGTTGATGCAGAAGCGGATGAGGCCAGGTTATCTGAAAAAGTCAAAGCACTTGGCCTGCCAATGATTTCATCACCTTGACCGCAGGATGGTGATGGCAGCATCTCTCGCAGAGAGTTTGACAAAATGCTTACCAATCCGACATGTGTCCGGACTCTGAATGAAGTTGGCGTCGATGTCTTTGCTTTGGTGGACTTAGCGGACTTCATCTTCGAACAGAAGGATACTCTTGAATTTGCGGCGTTTATGGACGTGCCTGGGCGTAGTAGATCTTGGTATGACAAGTGACAAGCACTGCAGCACTGCAGCATGCTGTAGCCAAAGCATGTTTTGCAAAGCTTGCATGTAGTGGATGTAGATCAGTGCAGACTTTCCTTGCAGGCGGTACTGCAGCTCAGGGGCAGCAACACTGCCACCGTAAAGGACCGACGTTTGTGCGTCCAGAGCTTCATGCAGCGGAGAGGATAGCGCTTTGCAGAGGTAGCTGTAGTAAACAGTAGTAGCTGTCGCCCGGCCAGCACAGCAGACTACATCCCCCCCCCGTTGGGGCGATGACAGCCTCTCTCGCTTTGGTCTACGAAGGATTGCAAAACTCTCTGGCGCTAGTTAGGCTAGCCTGATTGTATGTTCATTCAGGCAAGGCTGAGTCTCATCATGCCGCAGGACATTGTGGATCTCCAGAAGCTCATAGTCAACCACTTCAAGCTGACTGAAGACATGATTTCTGAACTGGCCGGCAAGCCACCGATGCTAGCATAGCTAGCTTGTACATGACCCCTTTCAATAGTTAGGCGGCGCTGCAGAGGCTGAAGATCCGCCGTTTTTTCACTAGAGTCTTTGATTGATCAGTGGAAGAAGATAGCTATGCGACATCTTGCAACTGTGCCTGCAGCACAAAGGCTCGAGTGACAGCTTTAATTTGTTTTGGCAAACAGCAAGAGCAGCATACGTGCGGCGGTCATTCAATTAATGCATGCTACATTCTCGTGCTTCGATCTCATAGCGTCAAGGTATGCCATATCATTGCGTTGTTCGCAAAGTCAACTCCCGGTGGTGCCGTCTTCGTCTTGCTGTTTGCTTTGCAACTGCACCTGACTGGAATACTGTCGACCTCTCCGTCTCCAAAACAGCAGCAGCCAAGCTGTGTTGTACAGAATTCGGATCGACTTCTGTGGCAATTCTTGCTACAAAGGCGAGCCGTGAATCCCCTCTCAGTGCACGGTTGAATCCTAGACCTCTCGAGGTTGTGCTCACAGCCAGTCAGCAGTCAGCGCTTCAAGCGTAATTCTCTGCTATTAGGAGTTGCCATAACGCCTGCAGGACTCTGCTCATCAGCCGCTGGAGATGGAAGTGTTCGGGACCAATGCCATAAAGATCGTTTGCACCTAAGAATTCCTGTGCAGCTTCTGCTCACAGGCATCTGATGGCTTAGAGAAGATTGTTTTGCAGCACTCGTTTTTGGGTACTTCAAGTGCTGCTGTGCTTTGATGCCTCATGAATGCATTTCTGGTCACAAACTTAGTTTGTCAAATTAAGCCACCAACAACAACCCTCTCGTCTCAGGTTGTTCGTTCCCTTTTGAATGCAGAGGCGTCCCTACTTGGTGACCAGAGTCCGAGGTGGAGTCTGAACACATAAGCAGAGAATCGGGATGCACGAGTGGCAGGTTGGGTGGTCGGCGTGTGCTGGTGGTGCGGCGGAGCAGTAACAGCAGCAACTCACAGGACGCCCTGAAATGGAAGTGCATTTGTTGCGTCATGTTGGCCTTCTCAGTAGGACGCCGGAGATCGGCGTGGGCTGGAGCTGCAAGTACGAGCTGCTCACGGTGGGGCGAGGGATGCTGTTCTGCATCTGCATGCTTTGCGCGGCCTGAAGAAAGGCCTTCCGCCAGTTTGCAGAGGCGAGATTCGAGTAGCGCACTCCTGGCCTGACTTTTCCCAGCCCACCTTGACACGATGTGCGCAATGCCTGGGCAGGCGGGAGACCAACATCGGCAAGCTGGCCGGCGCAATCGCCAAGAGAATTCGAGAAGAGGGCGCTGCACTGGCGGGGCCGAGATTTTGTGGGTGCAAGGGCTTGCCGCTTGCCTTGGCTCCGACATGCTCCGGCATTTGGCAAGGTGAGGGGAGCTGGCGCTGTTGCCTTGAAGCATCAACTTCAAGCTGTCGCAATTGCGTCGCCACCTCAATTTGAGAAAAACCTACGAGAGCCCTGCATGCGCCGTTCACGGCATGCTCAGGTCCGGCTACTTGGAAGAGCGAGGTGAGCTGGAGGATCATGACCTGGTTGCCCTTCCCCGCTACCAGGCAGATGTTGGCAGCGATTGGGAGGGGAATGAAGCAGCCTCTACTGCAGGACCTACCGGGAGATGGGCAAGGACAGACGTGGACTGAGTGGGCACTGACCGTTTATAGGCTGCCTGTCTAATAGATCCTTGTCTCCAGTTCTTGGTTCCGGCAGCTGGATGTTGGCGATGGTGAGCCGGTGCTTCAGAGTTCAGGATCCAGGCCCTGCAGCTGCGGCGAACGAACACATGGCCGCTTCTGTGCTGCTCAACCACATTGCAGCGAGCTGACGGCCCACTTTCACGGTTGGTGTGCTATGGCCTTTGTGGACCTGGACTCCGGACCCCATGTGTTCGAGGATGTTCCTGAAGGACAGCAGAGTCCTCGGTGGCGAGCCCGTGGTGCACCGCCTGTTAGGTCCTGGTAACCTCCAAACCTCCGCCACGAGCGCTGGACACTGTGCAAACAATGAACAAGGACTGAATGCAGGAAAAGAAAGGTTTAAGCCGTCGAAACGGAGATTTATCAAGTCGTGAGATGTGCTGCGGCCTTTGCGGAAGTGCTCAAGAGACACGGGTTTGGCATCACTTGCCATGGATCCACAAAAATCAGTACCGTAAGTGATGAAGGCAACTTGACCTACACGCTCCAGATGAGTTATAGGCGGTGTTTGCTCAGAGTTTGTACGCTGGCAATGGCTGCAAAGGCATCGGGCTCCCAAGCTTCAATGGAGCCAGCTACGTCAAGCTCCGATGTGCCGATGCGGGTGCAAAATGTGAGCGGCCCGGAGCCAAGCACAGCGTAGTGCTCAGTTTTCTCGAAGATTTCCCCAGGTACCACCAGCGGCTGTTGCGCTGCAAGCCAGCCTGGCTTCAAGCGCCTTGTGCAGTGCGCCCGTCAACAACTTCAGGCGTGGAAAAAACCATAGCACATTCCTGCTCAGAATGCTTCTGGAGTCGGGAGACCGAAGCTTGCTGCTTGTTCAGGGCGCGCGTCACTACCGCAGGCTTCATGTTCCCGGCGGCATGGCCGCATATAGAGCTTCTGAGAATTTGCAATGTTTCTTGGCGGTGTAGGTGTGCTGCCCTGTGTAAAGAGGCTCGACGCACAAAGCAGCCGAAGCAAGACGCCTATTCAGGCTCCAGCCCAGCTTGTTGTGCTATCTGGTTGAGCCGTCTGTTCCAATTTCCATTCTCACATTGAAATGCAGGGTCAGGAAAATGTCATGAGATTGCTCATGTGAAGGCCTCGTGGCGATGCTGGATGACTTCTTTCCTGTAAGTTGTAACTTGCTTGCATACAGCGCTGTTACTGGTACACTCGATCTTTTCGAGCTGCTTTTCCTGCTGTCCTGGCCAATGGACCCAGGTGTTCTGCGTAGACAAGGCTGTTGGCCAAAGAAGAGAAGGCAGACTGCCTGACGGGTGGACGATCGGCAGAGATCTTCGTGGATACCGCATCAAGACTCCGGACAGAAGAGCGCCCGGACGGAGCATGATGGAGCCAGATGGTCATGAGAAGCTGATTCGGACATCTGTAAACGCCTGAAAACAGTCATCCCGAGCCTACCAGATGGTGATTTGGGCCTCGAGAGCAGAGGTTCAACGTCGTGCTGCTGAGGCTTCTGGCAAAGAGTGCCCGAGGAAACTTGCGGGCCTGGAATCCTGAGCAAACTATAGGAGCAAGGAGTCTTACGAACCAGGCTGGGTGGGTTCTGATGTCAAGAGAGGCGATTCCAACAAGGCTGCTGGGCTAGCCTGAAAGTCTGTGCCGTGCCGGCTGACCGGCAAGCCGCTGGACCCGTAAAAATTGCGGATTGAATAGACCTATATTGGAGCATGCTTGCAAATGCAGATCTCTTTGAAGCATGCCCTGGGCACTTCCTCCCTACGGTGATCCCAGCATGGTCAGATTACACAGCATGAGCGGGGTGTTAATACAACGGCTCAGAAATTGCACCGCAGATCTTAACGACAAGGCAAGCAGAGTTGGGGCCAGACTCTTATTTATCATTGTCTCTGTAGTTGCTGCCGTGTGTGATGTGTGTGTGCGATGCATTTTCTTCTCAATCAGCAGCAGTACATCATCTTCTGCAAGGCCATGCATTGCCATGTTGGATGTGAAGGAGCTCTTCACGCCCAAGCGAAAGCGTTTGCTGCGCGGTGAGCCAGAGGCAACGACAATCCCATTCCAGGCCTTGCCTTTGTCCTGGCGGCGCTTCCCGGATCCGGCCGCGAGTGCCCTGCTCCAGAACCGTGCTTGTCAGGCCTGGGAGGTTCTTGGCACCTGCGAGGCCGCCTTGCTGCTATGCAAAGCGGACCTGCGTAGCAGTCGGGATGCGCTGCGCCAATGCCGTACGCAGTTGGAGGCCCACCTCGCCTGCAGCTCTGCCGTTTGCGATCTGCTGGCTGGGAGGTGGTCGGATCCGCAGGATGCCGACTGGGCATCTGATACCATTTGTGGACGCCCGGCGGCCACCTGTCGACCAAAGCATTGTGTCGGCCGTGTCCGGTGCTTCTTCTGCCGTGAGCGCGATTCCTTGGAGCAGGGACTGGATGGAGCAACGACAACGCGAGATCGCTGGGAACTGGACTCAGCCGTGCTAGGAGATGTCAGCTGCACGGCCTCTGACTCCTCTGATGGCTTCCACTTTGCAAGAGGAGTCAGCGAGGAGGAGACGCAAGATTCGGACCAAGAGCAGGTGGTAGCGTCGCGGAGGCTGGTAAGAAGGAGGAAAACGTCTCGAGAGCGGGGGCGTCCACTCTACAAACTGAAGCGGAAGGAAGTGGCCAATGCGAACGTGTCCTCAACTTGGTATGCGACCCACACGGTGGAGCCCCCAAGGATGGCATCGCAGAGCCCGACAGAGAAAGAGCACAGTGGCAGTGCAGGCGGCTCACAGTGCAGCCCCGTACTCAGCCGAGAATCCAGTGGACGGAAGCCAGAGGCGCTTTTGCATTTCAAAGCGGAGGTCGGAGGTCTGGGATCTGAAGACGTCTGCTTTGCAGGTCGCAGGATTGAAGACGATTGACATAGAGGCCGAGCTGGAAAGGCCACATGCTCACCAGTAACTTTATGAAAATCCTCGGAAGCACGCTCGCAATCCAGAAAGCCTCTTCGAGCGAGTTTGCATTCCGGTTTACCAGTGATGTGCAGGCCCTGCGCACGAGGGGCCGTGAACAAGGCAGACAGCTTGGGTCGCTCAGTGCTTGCAGCAGCATTGCAGTTGAGGTTTTGGAGGGAGACGCTCTCCAACAAGAGCTGCAAGGCTGGTAAAACTATAAACTCAGCCAGGATCGCTTGGTGTTACCTGATGCGATGTGAAACACATCAGGGGCAGATGCTGCAGAGCTGGAGCCATATACAACAGCGGCTGCGAGGCGCGCTTTTTGACCATTTGCGCACTTTGCCATGGAGCTTCGACCACCACGAAGTTTAGACTTTTCTGGATTCTCGCAGATGCCTCCATGAGACGACTTGATTTGCCTCGTTGAGATGCACAGAGGGCTGACTGCACAGGTTCCGTGCCGAGATGGAGTTCTTGGACATGATCCTTTGGCATGACTTCCACTTCGAGTTGTTGCAAAGTAGTTCTTTGTGCACTTTGAGCTTGCCAGGTCAAGTTTTCCCGGGAGCCCGGAAGCGCATGCACCCCAGGATTCTCAACTTGTCACGTTCAGCGGGGGCCGGTGCTCTTTTCAGGAACGTTCCGGACCGTCGCAAGGGTGTGGACCGAATTGACTTGCCTGACACGCTCTCAGAGCGTGGTCTGCTGCGTGTTCTGCAGATTACCCTTGCAAACGCGAGAAAGGATTTGCATGGGTTCCAAAGGACAAGGGCTTGGCTAGACCACCGATGCTTGTGGACGTCGAGGCCTTTGCAAGAGGTTTTCAAAGCGCTTTAGCGCTTTGCCCTGTGTTTTGCTTCGAGCTTTGCTTTGCCGTTTTCGGCCCGACACTTCCGGATCCATTTTCATCCTCTACGATGGTGATTTCCGTTCTAGCTCTTCCATTCCTTCTCGTTGGTTCTTTCGTAGCTCCTTTTGGCCTTGGCCAGGTCTGGCAGGTCGCTCCGCCGGCTCCGCCGCCTTCGGCCAGCCATGCGCGGAAGCTGCCGAAACCTCGGAATATCTCGCAATGCTGTACCTTGCCAGCCCGTTATATTCTGTCCCACTCATTTGAGAAGCCATTTTTCTGCATTTTGCTCCTTCTCAGGTCAGATGGCCAAACCCTGCAGGAGGTGCATATCTCTGAAGCTAACCTGACGTAACAGATCTTTAAGAAGAGTCGCAGCAGCATGTTACTGTTTATACTGTTCTATTTGAATCAAGTGACTTGAATGCCATTTTTAGAACAGTAACCAGCGCTGGCCAGGAAAGTCATGTAAACCCTTTTTCAAGCCCTGCACTCCTGCCCTAGTCTAAAAAGCACTGATCGGCAGACCTGTTTGGATGGGGCCTGAGATAAGTTTCCCATGCAGGACGAGCTGTCCTCCGGTGAGACAGCTGAAATCCCTGTGGCCTGGAAATGGACCCTTTGCACCTTCAGGCCAGGGCACCTGGTTATGCTGTCTCTTCAGCTGTGCCCCATGTCAGGCTGCTGAAAGAAGGCCCTGTCCGAAAGCTTGCCGTGTTGCAAGGAAGTGGCCTCAGATTCATTTGTGATGTCCTTGCTCGTTACCTGGAGTGCAAAAGACGCAAGGTTGGGCCAGAGCAGTGAAGAAGCAGCCAGTGTCTCACGTACCTGGGGACCACCATGTTGCAGACTTTAAGTCTTCCGCTAGACATGAGGCAGAGGGCGGCAGCAGCATCAATCACGGCAGTTCACCAGCCTTGCGTGGCCAGGCCACAGAAGTAGCAGACAGTCGGACAGTGACATCATGACATCCCTTTGCTAGGCCTGTGCCGATCCGAAGCACGCAAACTTCTGTAGTCTGTACCTCGGAACGCTGCAAAAACATTAGAGTTGACAACACCTCCGAGCATGATGCCGGCGGCTGACATGCTTGTGTTTCTGAGGGCGCCAGCCCTGCCGTACCATTCGCAAACACTGGCCAAGATGGAGGGCAAGCTCCGCACATCCCTGCATCCTGATTACAGCAATCTATCCACGACGCTTGTGCTGAACTGACGAACTCCCCCTACGGCAAGATGCGGCATTTGCTGGCCTCTGCCGCTGCCAGATTCTGCCAGCAAGGTCGAGGAGCTTGTGCTGAGAGCCGGTCCCCAGACCTGCATGGAAGCTGACGAAGACTGCGCTGAGTGCCTAAGGCCAAGTCAGCCAGCTCAAAGTAAGAGATGCCGTGAGGGCCAGGTGTGGCCATAGTGCCTACTCGGATCTGCAGCTCTGAGACAGAGTGCCGTGATGGTTCGGAGAACGCTTCACCTGACCTGTGCAGCGTCAAACTCGGATGAGCCTCTGTAGATTTTTGCGCTGGGAATTTCATGCTCGATGGGTGGAGGCACATTCCTTATCCCTGCGTCAGGTGTTTTGCGCGAATGCTGGTGATTCCCGCTGCGTGCTGGCCAGGCCGTGCAGCATCTCGTTTGCGGACTTATACAGTCCTCGCTTGATCTCATGTCATTCGATGTTACAGGGGAGGTCGTGCTCAAAATCTATCGCGAGACCACAAGCCGGAGTTGGAGAGTGAACGCAGACGAATCGCGCAGGCGTGGCTTGCAAGGTGACGGAAGTCTTAGTTGCTTTGGTTACCCTTTGTCTGGAGAGGCTGGCGGCTTTGTGTCTGCGGACGGCCGCGTCGATGGCAACCTGGTGCGAACCTGATTTGCCAGAGATTGCACGCAGGTGGAACCTCTTCTTGAGATCCGTGCTTGATGAATCTTGAGAATCTCTCGCGCTCCCTGGGGGACTTCGCCTACAAAAAGGACACATCTCGGAAGGAGCTGCAGTTTTGATGAGCTATAGTCTAAACTGCTTAGGGGAGGTTATATGGGGATTATATAGGGGAGTACCGTAGGGGTTATTTAGGGGGATGCTAGGAGTAGAAGAGATCTCATATGAGTGTATCTTGTACACCTGAGCGTCAACTGGCAGAGTCCTCCAGCTGGTAGCTGCTTCTAGTCGTAGTTGTGAGGCAACAGAGCAGAAGATCTCGGCTGAAGCCGAGGCGCCGATTGAGTGTAAACAGGAGATGTTGCGTCAGAGTAGATGCGGGTTGCTGCCAGTTGCCAGGTCAAAAGACGGGGCCTAGGTCCAGCAGACCATTACCTTGCAATAGGCCAGGGACCAAAAGCAGAATCGAAATTTGGCTTTCAAGCTTTCGGTTTGGAGTCGCTCAGAGGCTGCGATGGAATCTTCGAGAAATTCTCCAGCCAAGAGCTGGTGAACTTCCTGCTGCCGCACCTCAGGCGCTGTATGCAGTGAAGAGGCGTGCAGAAGAGGTTGCCGGGCTTTTCTCCAAAGACAGGCGCCGGCGGCGAAGCCAGGCGCCCCTCTCGCAAACGCTGCCTGGCTTCAACTTGAGCATTGGGCCCCACTTGTGCATCTTCCTGAGATCTGTAAGGTGTTCTGCGTTTCTGGACGCGAACATTGCAAAGAGTCCTCAGAAGGAGCCACGCTGTGCGAGTCTGTTTTACTTCAGGTTCTGATGCTCAAGGTCATGCGGCATATTGAACATCAAGACAAATCAACAGTAACGTAGTCTTCCTTTTGTTTTGGCCAGGCTTTAGGGCCTCTCCAGGGCTGACAACCATGGGGTTTGTTGAATTGGTTGGCATTTTGGCTCGGATTTCAAGCTTTATGCTTTATGGGCAGCTGCAATGGCAGACCTGGGCCACCTTTTGCGGCTTCCTGCGCCAGCATCCAGAGAGCAGGTGAGGAAAATCCTGCGGGCCGATGGCTGGGGCCCGGGCAAGTGGACCCTCGTCCTGCGAAGTGTGGCGAAGGCAGAGCGTCTGGATCTTTCTCTTCAGCTGCTGGCACTGATTCAAGCAGGAAGGCTGCAAGCGGATGTTTTTCATTACTCAGCAGCGATCAGTCCGACTCGCGGCCTGTGGCCTTCGGCGTTGTCCATGCTTCAGAGTGCGGAAGACACAGGTATCACCCCGAACGAGTACACCTTCGGGAACGTGATGCAGAGTATCGAGAATTGGCTGCTTGCGCTGCACTGCCTCCATAGGATGCTTCAAAGTCACCTCCGCAGCAATAGTGTCACACAGACCACGCTCATCAACAGCTATGCTCAGCAACATCAGTGGGAGCAAGCCCTCTCACAGCACAGTTCTCCGCAGGGCCAGACAAGCTTTACCATTGCCGCAGCGATGTCGGCTTGTGACAAAAGCTCCGAATGGGATCGCTGCCTTGGACTTTTCGACTGCTTGAGCTCCACGACTTCAACGGTTTGCCCTTCCCGTCCTCCAAAAGACGTGGTTTGCTACGGCTTAGCCCTTGCCTCTACACAGAGCTGGCAAATTGCAGAGGATCTTTTGGCAGAGATGGCGACAGAATCTCTACGCAGCAACTCCTTGTGCTACAACGCAGCGATCTCATCCTGTGAGTCTGAGTGGGAGGCAGCATCGCGCCTTTTTAGTCACATGTGTGCAAAGCGACTTGAGGTGGGACTCTGTCGAGCCACTGTTGCCCATGTTTGTCGCGGCTCCTGGGAGTCTGCCTTGTGCCTACTCCAGGGGCAGCTTGACCAAGGCATTCCGCCTGATGCGGCTTTGGCTGGCTCAGTCGTTCAGGCCATCGCGGAAGGCCTAGGCACTGGGATCGCAGAAGACCTGCTCCTGAAGTTGCTGGATCTCTGGAGGCTGCAGCTTCCTTCAGAAAAGTGGACAGACTTGCCGGACGCCGCAAATGTGCTTGTGTGCCAGCCAGGTCTTCTGGTCCTATGCAAGCCACCGGGAATTACCAGCGAAGCTGCTGTAACCAACCTTGCTGGCCTTGCTGGGACAGGTCTGCGCATGGTCTCCCGACTCGATGCTCAGACGTCTGGGATTCTTCCGCTTGCAGTGGGTGAGGTTGCTGCCAGGTATTTCCAAGCACAGTTTGCGGCCCGGCTGGTGCAGAAGGAGTACACGTGTTTGTGCGAAGGTGCGCCTCTAGGGCAGGTGGGGACGACGGGAAAGATCTCTGAGCCGCTTCTCACTACTGGAGTGGATGGGGTAAACTCTCGGACGCGCACCTCAGCAGAAGGGCGCGAGTCCCATACAGCCTACCTCGTCAAATCAAGATACTCGATTGGCACTCCTAGGTCAGACACAGAGCTGATTCTCTTGCGAGTGAGACCCCTGACAGGTCGCACCCACCAAATACGTGTGCACCTTGCAAGCATAGGACGCCCGATTGTGGGTGACGTCATCTATGGCACTAAGCAATCCAAAGTCTCTGCACGCCTCTTTCTGCACTGTGGGCGGATTCGCCTGCGAGACTTCAACGGTCGACGCCTCACTGTGAGAGCGCCGCTTCCGCGGGATCTCACGGAGAGCCTAATCAACCTGGAAGAAAACCAGAACAGGGGGCACTGGGCAGGGATGCGTAGATGGTAGCGAATCGTTTTAGGTCAGAGGTCAGCAGAGAGGTAAGTGCCTGCAAGCGCTAAGTAGGATACCACGTGGTTGACACTGGCTGGACTTTCGGTTCAAGGTGGCAAAGAGACTGCCTCCCTCCATCGGTGCTGCGTGAGGAGCGGATGCCAAAGCGCCATTCGCGGCTTTTCCAGCTTGGAACTTGGCTTCCAGGTGGTCACCATGATCAACTTCATCCCGAAAACATGCGCTTCGGCAGCTCCCCCAGTTGTTCAGGTTCTTCGCACATGTGACTGACAGCCCAGCTGTAGAAAAGGTGGCGCTTCTTTACGGCAAGCGACCGTTGCAACGGATCGCAGTCTACAACTTAGCACAGCTGGGCGGTTCAAGGCAGAAGCCAGCTGGCATGAATCATGAAGTCACAAGGTGGGTGCTGCTAAGCAGCAGCTAGAGATTCCCCTGGACGTCGTGTCAGACATCCCAAGCAAAGTCGACAGCAGTGCGGCTTGGCAAGGGAAATCCAGAACCGCAAGCCAGGGCAGATAGCCCGCAATGTGGTGAGCTGAGGTGGCATATGTGGGCAACAAGTACAATGCCTTGCCCTGGAAGGCAGAGTCTCCAAGTAAAGGTGTGTGAGCTGCTCTGCTTCGACGTGACTTCGATGTGTCACAAGGACTTCGTGGACATCAAACTCGATGCCCGCAACTTGATCGAAGCCGACGTCAAGTCCGCGTTGACCGACCTGGATTGGTTTGGAAAGGCTGGTTTTCACATTGCACCATTGCTCTTCTAGCTCCTGACTCAGCAAGGGACTTGCACATGATACGCGATATGTGCAGGTCAACGCCTTGTACGCAGGAAAGCAGACTGAGACTGAGATGGACGTGGCAGCCAGGAGCCCAGTACTTTAGGAAGCGGCCAAATTCTGATTTTTCAAGGGTCTCAGCCATAACCTAGCAAAGCAAATGCACTCTGCTCCATGTGCTCAAAAGTGTCATTATTATGCTTAGTGATATTTTTTTAATTGCTGTCGTTACTATTTTTGTTATTATTACTATTATAGTTTTCTTATCTGCTGGCAGCTGGTTGACTGCTGCCTTTGAATTTTGTCCCAGGCCAAGACCATCGGGGCCATGAAGCCAGCTGCACGGCTTAACATTGCTTGCCCTATGAGTGGCTAAATGTTGGGTTTTTGTAGACATTCTGGCGCTACAGACCCCAATAAGATGTCCTGAGGTGAAGTATCCGATTGCCAAGAAGTGAGTGCTGCCAAAGGCTGTACATGATCATCAGGTTGGTTGATGCAACATAGCTCTTGCAGTAGTCCGTAGTCCCGACAACTACAAACTCTTGTTACACGGATCTCGGAGTACTTGGGACAGCCGTGTCATCTCGCTGATGACATATCGTTAGCTTTCTTTTTTAGGAGAGGTTTTGGATCCACAGCGGATGGAAAAAGTTCAGCCTTGCCGTATGCGTTTATACCCGAGAAGGCCCGGCTCAAGAACCAAACTGCTTGAGTTCTTGTGGCTGCATTGCCACCTGCAGCTCTCAGAAGGCTGAGCTGCGGCTCAGCAGGATGACTCGCACAACTCGCACAAGCGGCCCAATAGCCAGCGAACGCCAGCGATGTCTGGCCACAGTTAAAGCCAGCTTCTTGCAAGCTGACTGCCGATCCTGATCGTCACTGGTTGCGAACATACCCACGGACCTGAAGTGGGTGTGCTCTTTGCTGTTGTGTGTAAGCTTGGGGCTGAGTGCAGACCATGGTGCTGCATGTTGGGATTGAGGCTCTTAGCAGTTGGCCGATTCCCCAGATCAGCAGCATAGGATTGTAGCTGCAGCCATGGCGATGCCAGATTCTGCCATGAAGCTGCTCCTCGTGAGACCTGCAGTTCCAGCACCCCTGGATCCCAATTTTTCGCCGCTTGTGCTGGCCAAGCGGAAGTACCTCAAGGCTGTTGCAGCAGCAAGTGGTGCCAAAGACGGTTTGATTGCGGGCAAGAAAGGCATGGGGATTTTCAAGGCACTGGGCCTGGGGAAGGGCAAACCTGTTTTCCTGGAATGGGCACTGCCCCGCGCTGACGGATGTGCTCGTTACTCCTTGCCCGTATTCCCAGAGGGCCACCCAGATGTTGAAGCATCGATCTACCTTGCAGGAGTTCTGATTCAGGAGATGATTTGGCAGCGAAGTGCCAAGAGCTTGCTGTTGAGTGGCCCGGCCAACATCTGTGAGGCACTGAAGCAGGACTTCTCCAAGGGCGGCAGGTACGAATTCGAAGTGACCTCCATGCCGAATGTGTGCGGTACGCCCGACACAGTCTTTGAAGTGAAGATCGTGAACCCTTCCGAGTTGCCCGAGAGTTTCGATACGCCTCAAATTTGCGGCAAGGATGCCAATGGATGCCGACTGGCCTTTGACTTGGGTAAGAGTGACATTAAGACCGTGGCGGTCAAGGACAACGAAGTCGTGTATTCAAAAGAGACAGAATGGGACGTTACCAATGCCGATCCAGAATATCACTTCAAAGCTGTTTCCGACGCATTGAAACTGGCAAAAGAGAAGCTGCCCAAGGTGGATGCTATGGGGGGCAGCGCCACTGGCACCGTCGGGGCACAGAATGAGGCGACATGGTGCGACATCTTCCCAAATGTCCCGCCTGATGTTTACAAGCAGAAGGCACTTCACCAGAGAATCTGAGCCCTTCGCATAGACCTTTGAACGTAAGCCTCTCAGGTGGTGGACATCTTCCAGCGGATCTGCAAGGAAGTGGCTGGGGACGTGCCTCTGAAGGTCATCAATGACGGTGAGGCAAAGATCCATTTTTTTTCTTTCAGTTCAGGGGTGGGCGCACTCATTTTGTTCAGTCTGTCTGTCTGCAGAAGGTGACAGCCCTGGCGGCCGTCCAGAAGCTGGAGGGAAAGGGGAGTGTGATGGGCATTTCCATGGGCAGCAGCACCTTTCCTGGTGAGTAGGAGCTTGCCCGAGTCCGTAGTTCTCATGTTGAGCATTGCGTCTTGAGGTGAGGGTGCTGGGTATGCAAACGCAGACGGGAACCTCATGGGATGGATCAACGAGCTCTGTCGGACACCCAGATGAGAGACGCACTATGGCGAGCCACGACAATGAGTCCCTGCGGGATCACTGAGATTCTTTGAGGCTATGTCCGCCTGGATATGAACCCAGAAGCACCAACGGACCCCTGGTCGAAGGGCTCTCACACAGGCAGAGTCATGTTGTACTCTTTTAAGATGTACTTGCTAACACGCATGCTTTGTTGTCAGGCCTTTCACACATGTACCTGGGTCAGCGTGGGGCCACGAAGCTTGCAGCAAAGGCTGGTATCAAGCTGCCAGAGAATTACGTTACTTGCATGATGTTTCTGAGATGTTGTATGCCATGAAGCTTTTCACCTCTCGAACTGCATCGCTGGCTGCTTGCAGCTGAGGTGTACCCGCATGCCAACATGTGCACTATTAAGCAACTGGGCGATGTTGAGCCTTGTGCTTCGTTGAGATTGCGCTGTGGGCAAAACGCATGCCGCAGCTACAGCAAAGGCACGAGGATCACGCTCAGTGCCTGAAGCTCATCCAGAAGGCAATGGAGGACCACCAGCTTCGACAAGCTTGGTTGAAGACTGGAATTAGCTCTGACTCTGTGTGTTGGAAGCAGAGGATCCATCCCAGAAGGTCCAGGCAGATCGGGCAACGTTCGGCTTTATGGCAAAACCCAAGCATTGAAGCCTGCTGCTGGGCAGGTAGAAAAGCTGTACGTCACCGTGGGGGTCTACCTCGGTTATGCCTTGGCTCAGTACTGCGAGCTGCTCGTAAGCAGAATGAGTCAGGATGGGTGTGCTTCGTTTCGGGAGCAACCCGGACAGAGTGCAAAGAAGCATGACGATGATGGAGAAATCCTGTGCCCGAGGTTCTACAAGATTGACCACGTCATGATCCTGGGCCGAGTCAGCAAGGGTGCTGGTGGTGACATCATGCTGAGCACAGCTTGAGCCTGAGTGCTGTGCCGCAGCAGTTCAGTGGAGCAGACGCATTGGACCCTGAATAACAAAGGCAAAGCGTGTGCTCCAAACCGAATTCCCAGAACATGCGGGCATCCAGTTCCACACGGCGGATGACCACTTCAAGGCCGCTGACTCAAAGCTGCATGACATGAGGTGAAGACCTGCTCGCAAAAAGAGTGACAGGGTGACAGGGCAGTTGGAGAAATGGACCTTTTCACACTTGATGAGAGAAGTTCCGGGATTGGTTTGACGGCTTCGCTGAGACGGTGGGTGATTTGGTCTTTGCAGGATCAGGGCACGCCCCAAAATCAGGGCCATCAGCTTCAAGGTCACACAGACATGGTATGGTTCCAGCAGATTCTGCTGAACTAAGTCTACCTGCCTTGGCCGGCTTTTCACTCTTTTTGGGCGCCCTCTGCGTTATTCAGTTATTCACCACGCTGGATTTCAGTCTTCATCATACCTGACCTGTCTGTGCGGCGCCTCCATGCCTCCAGAAGTCTTGGAAGTACCCCTTTGCAGGGTTGAGAAATCCTATGATAAGCCATATCCTTCGCGGTGGAGCCATTTTCTGAAAACACTACACATGGGTTGACGAGGCAAGCGTTTCAACGTAGCATTTTGTCGATGCGGCGGCGGATAAAAACGGTGGAATGGTTGGCCACGGAATTCATCCGAGTCACAGTTGATTCAACTGGCGAACGAATCAGTCATTGTTGAGTATACACGATCAGTTGTTTTTTGGCATTAGCAGCATTTTGTCGGTAGTCTCACCTGAGGCAAAATCGTAGGGCGATTTCTCCATCAAAGAGACAGGGAATCTTACGCCGTGCCTGTCTTTGTCTTACCTGTCCGTGAATCGGTCCTATCTGTTTTTCTTTGATTCTCCCTCCTCTTTGGCTGGCAACCCTCTTGGCTGTCCCAGTCGTGTATCGCTCGATTTCGTGCCCTCTCCTGATCTGAAACTGAATGGCAACCCAGCATGTGAAATCTTTTGGCAAAAGCCGTGGCGCCAATGGTTGCTCTCGGCGGCTTAGCCCGATGATACATTAGCAGTCATCAGCAGGTTGAAGTCAGGTTTACAGCATGCACAACTCAAAGTTGCCTTGCAAGCGGGTATGGTGAAGCTGCAAGCTTTGGTCTGCACTGGCTCGGTAAAGTCTGCGCAGGCCGTTGGGCAGTGCATCGCGGCGGCGGCCTTGCCGGCTCTTGCGTAAAGATTATAGAGGGGAACATGCTGACGCTGAACTGCCACTCTGACCGCTGAACTTGGCGCAGAAATCGGCGCCAATGTTTCGCGGTCTGTCACTGACTTGGCTGCGTTGTTGCATTTGCTGGCCAAGAAAAGTCAATCTGTCATGAAACGCGAAGAGCAAGCAAATGCAATTTTCTGCGGCAGCTTTTGCAGAGTTGGTCGCAGTTGTGCCCACTCAGATTTTGGTCCGGGCTGTGCTGGCCGCTGGGCATTGATTTCGGTAGACCTTTGCGGAGGCTCTGACAGAGAGACCTGTACTTTGCCACAGTTGTGGAATTGTGGAAGCCGCAAAAGCAACCCATCTCAAGTACCTGATCTCCGTGCAGTGATTACGTCGATTCCTGTGCCCAAATATAGTAAGGGGCTCTATCACGAGTTGTATTACGGGGTGTCTAAGAGGGATTGATTTTTGACAACGTGTAGCCAGCCAGAATCCCCAGTATACGCTCCACAAGCTACCGACGAGCTCATCTCCGCAGCTTCAATGGCCCAGGTTTCTGTAACCTAAGGGTGGAATTGGATGTATGAGTGCATGCGCAGGCTGTTCGTCCACCAGTACCCGTTGTGGCTCTCAAGTATACCTCTAGCTGACCTAGCTTCATGGCATTATGAGACTCCATCAGACTCGAGCCATTTGAGCAGCCAGATTAGCTGGCGAGCTATGCAAGCGGTCACGTCCCACCGTGCATCTTCCTTGGCCGCCATCACGGTGGGTTTTGCCTCTGCAGTTCTGCAGGGAGCTCATGCTTGCCACCACTGCGCACTGACAATTTGACTTCTTATGGCTTTAGAGGATATGGTGGAGCTGCAGGGTTGGAAAGAAAGGCCAGGCAGGGCTTCATGGAATGCGCTGAACTGCATCGGATGTGCCGGCTTCGAGACAGGAGAACCAACAAAGGCTCCTGAGCTGTCAGAAAGCAAGCCTGCCAGGCACCTGCCTGGCACTTGCACCTGTGCTTGTCAGCTGACTCTCGCGCGTACAGACCCACGGCAACCCTTGGTGGGCCGATTGCCACCGCGATCCATCACAAGGCTTGAGCTTCTCATGGCTGTAAGGCGCTGTAAGGCGTAAGGCGTCAAGCAGCGACCAAATGCTCTCGTAAAGCTCTCGCAAGGTTTCCAAGGCCTTGGAGCCAGCAGAGCTGCTGATCCACGATGACTCGGCAGCGCATCGAGGGCATGCAGGTGGCCTTGCTGTACGGCTGTGCAGTGTATCCCCTGTCATCCCCTCACCTCAGCATCCTCACTCATCCTCGTCTGTGATGTTGGTCAGGAGTTGCTGGAGCAAAGATCCCTGAGACACATTTTCGCGTCGAGGCTCTTCGAAGTCAGCCAGCGATGCCGGGGACGACCCGTAGCCCCGTGCTGAGGTTGTGTCTGCTGCCTTCGAAGGCGTCCGCAAGCTGGAGCGTCAGCGCAAAGTGCAGGAGCTGAGCATGAAACGTGCCAAGATGTCTAATGACATTCTGGAAGCTCTGAAAGCTGTGCAGTCCTTGTTAAAGGACCTACTCAAGGAAGAATTTGCAGCCGGACTTCATGCTCTGGACTGTTCATGCACCTGTTCGGTCGACATTCCAGATGTCAAGAGGGCTGAAGCACTGGTTGCGCATCAATCCTCTGATTGAGGAGCTTACATGCAGAACTCCGGCTGAGTGGGCCAAAGTTAGGGAGCGAATCTGAAAGTTCCAAAGCCCGGAAAAATGGAGAGCCGAGAGCTGGATCAAGGACGCTTTTGGCTTCCTACTTTTTTTACTTGCCTGCTCACGCCGCAGCTCTCTCTTTGCTTGAGCCATGAGCCTAGCTCTGCTGTCTACAGAGATGGTATAGTGCAGCGTAGCAGCAAGATGCTGCCATGGTGATGGTCAGCGATGAGTTGAGGAAGGAGCTGGCACCAACTGGTGTTCTTCGGGCAAGAGGCTTAGCATGGGCAACACTGTGCAGATGAGCTTTTTCTTTCGTTTCCTGCGGAGAATTTGAAAGCCTGAGGCTGGGATCAATTTAGCCAACTTCCTGCTGGTCACGGGCAAGAGTGCTGCAGGTGAACCGGAAGGCTCTGCTGGGAGTTGGTTTGGGTTGTTGGGTGGATGCTGTGTACACAGAGATTGAAGGCATTTCGCCCGACGTGGCTGCTGAAGTTGCGAAGCGGCTGGGCACGGGGCTCCGCCTGGTGCCATTTCCCAACCCCAAGGAGAGGGAACTCGACAGAGACAAGCTATCTTTGATATTTGGAGTTAGCTTGAGGTCGTGGTAATAATGCATGACTAGCGTATGAGATGTTGCGGGCATTGTTTGTTGCCGTTGGCCTGAAAAGGCGAGGACCCTTCCTGGGGTGCTTCCTTCAAAGCCTCATCTCTAATGGTTCACGAGCAATCGATCAAAGCAACTCATTAACACATCGTGCCGCAAACAACTCAATTCCGCGCTGAGTGTGTGGAGTGCCTGACGCAAGGACGTGGGCGACGCCGTGGATGAAGGCTGTCATCCAGGGGCGTCTTTCTGTGTCGCTGAGCGCGTGTGCAGGCTGTTGGGACATAGCCCTCATTGGCGCGGAGCCACAACGAGAAGAAAAGCCACGCAGCTGAGTTAAATTCTGTCTATCGCTTCCCTGTGGCCTCCACGCTTGCCCAGGATTGCATTTAGCAAAGCGTACGTTGAGATCCCTGCAACCTACTTGGTGCCAAAGGGCTCGCAGTTGACGCTGGGTCAAGATGATAGGTTTGTTAAATTTGCTCACAATGTCATAGCTATCTGAAGCAACAAAGGACGCGGATAGACGAGGTCGACTCCGCGACAGCCACTTGGGATGAACAATTTCTCCTCGTAGACAATTTCGGGCGTTGACCCAGTAAAACCATGACTGCCGGAGGGACCAGCAGCCAAGGTTCGAATAGCCTGCATGGCGGGTACCGCATTCGGCCTTTGGTTGGACAAAAACATCAAGCATGCAAGCATCATGAAGGCACATTTGCAATTTTTTCTCGCTCAGCTTTTTTTGGCGGGAATCGTGGGAGTATGTGGGAGTGGGTGGTGTGCGCAAGGCGGATTCAATGGATGCAGCCCTGAGGCTTCTGCTGGACGGAAAGGCTCTGTGTGATTGCAAGCCTTCCAGACTTGTGGGCTTACAGCCGCCGGTGAGGCCGACGTGCTCGCAAACTTACGAGAGCGCCTTCTCTCTGACGTTCTGCAAGTTCCTGGGGAGCTTTCCTCAGACAGTTGGTGGCAACTCGTAGGCGGTGCTGCTAACATGAAGTGCGCCTAATGTTTGCATAGATTGGTGTACAGTTTCTATAAAACAGCTCAGGGGCGCATACTGGAGGGACACTACATGACGGCAGCTTTGCTGCAGTTGCCATAGCCTAGGCCCAACTCGATTGAGTGGATGATCCGTCCGGTACTTCTTGCAGAGACTGAGGTGAAGCAGGACAGCCCGCATGCCATGAGGGGCCTGGTGTTGTGCGTCCGTGAGCTATGCATCCGATGTAGACCGACACAGCCACCCTGAAGGCAGTGGGAACTTCTCGAAGCCGCAGTGCTCTTGCCGTCGAGTTTCTCGCGGAGACGGTAGAGGAGCTGAAGGCGAATGGCTTCGTCGCAGGCTCAGATGGTGCATGCCCTTAGCTCAGGGCCTCTTGAGAGAGCGTGGCACATGCAAGGTCCAAAGCCTCATTGAGAAGTCGCTTGGCAATGCAGAAGACCTTGAGCCTTGCATGAACGTAGATTGCTTGCCACTGCGGACTGTTGGATGCAGGCATGGCGTCCTGGGGAAGTTGGTCGTGCCCTCGGAGGGCCCGGAGACCAAGCGACGCAAAACGAGTGCTGGTGAAGGCGGACAGCAGGATCATTCAGCTTGTTGTCTGTTGTCAGCCCCCCCTCTTTGTGCAGTTGAGCCCCTTGCGTGGTTGCTCTCAGATGGGCGGAAAGACTCTATTTCCATCCTTGGCTGCGGAGCAATGGGATCTGTGCATCTCTTCAGCAGCACTCAGCGCTACCGTGCGCGTGTCCTTCGCAGTTCTCGGCAACACGTAGCTGCAAGGTATGCGGCCTTCTTCGCGAGAGCTGGCCACCAGGCAAGCTGTTCGAGGTGGTGTTGGGCCTTAGACCCAGACCATTTCCAAGCTTGGAGGTTTGGGCTGTGGATGTCTGGCCGGAGCACGTCTCAGTGATGCGCGAGAAGGCCTTGGCGGCGTTGCCTTGAAGCCTCTGAAGTCTCTGCGCCGCTTTCGCAGCTCTGCACTGCTCAGGGCCTTCGCCTCCAAGGGCCCACGGGCGACTTCACCGTGCCCATCCACGCGACTCTGACTCCTGAAGAAGTTCCACTAAGTGATCTTGTACCCTGGCGGCAGTCTTGTCTTGGTCTTTCTTCAATGAGGTGTGCGTCATCCTGTTTCAGCTTGAGGTCATCATAGCAACGAAGATGCGAGATCTGGAGCCGGCCACAAAGCTGGCCAAGAATCTGGTCAAGAAAGATGGCGTGACCTGGTATGCATCCTCGATTATTTCGGAGCGGGCCGAGCTTTGCAGCTAAAACTCTGGCTGATGTGACTTTTTTATTGCACAGGGTTCAAGTCGAGTTTTTGAGGTAGGCCTTTCCCAAAAGCAGGGTGACCAAGCTCCCATCAACTGAGGTCATCCTGGCCATTCAGAATGGCCTTGGGGCCTCAGAGCGCCTGCTGCGGCATGTGGGCAGCGAACAGGCTATGCTGGGAATTGCCAGCAACTTCGGTGCTTGCATGAGAGGACTTCGCTTGAAGCCACTGGTCTATGTATGATGGTTTGCCTAATTAGGGGGACCCCAAATCTAGACCCCAGTATACTATCATCCTCATTATGAGGACCCCCAAAATGGTACCGCTAATTTTGGGAAACTTTAAACCCCCATATCCCCAGTTTGCATTTCAGTTTCCATTTCAGTTTCCATTTGGTCCTCCATTATTGGGTTTACATATCCTATCAGTCCTGATGTTGGCATTGCAGGACCAGGCCATGCAGAGCACAAGAGCATGAACCGCATAATTTTGGGCGAGATGGGAGCGCCCAAAATTCAGCGTTTGCACAAGGCCGGTCTTTGGTGGAAAGGGCTCTTGCACACAGAGCCTACTGATGCCTACTGTGAGGTGGTTTCCATGTGGTCTTCCGCAGGCTTCAAGGCTGAGGCCTCAAGCGCATGCTGGGGAAGGGCACTGTTCCTGGTAGACTGGACCGTCTTGAATGCAGGCAGCCTGCAACATCGAGCAGAAGATTTGGGAGAAGTTGATCTGCAATGTCTTTGTTGGAGGCACTTTCCAGCTGGGAATCAAAAGGTGCAGGAAGCTTTCGCTGGGTGTTGCAATCAAGGAGAGTGATACAAGGTTTTCAGGTGATGTATTCGGATGATCATTTGACATGGTTGTCCATACGTACCATGGGCGATTTGGTCAATAGAAATGGCTGAGGCACGTGTGTCGTAACCGATTTCACGGTCGGACAGATGGTGGACAATCACTTCTCCAAGCAGGTGGCCCTGGCCTGCGCGCGGGAGGCTGGCTGCCAGCTGCTATTTGAGTTTAGGTCATAGGCCTGTGATTTGGCGCAGGGAATTTTCTGTGTATTCTATAGACTGCTCGTGATCCTGTGGGTCTTGCTTGCCGCTGCTCCTGTCGGGCCGCCGCACCAGGCCTTTGAGGTGGGAAAGGCCAAGGGGATCAACTTCGGGTTCGACGACATGGAAAAGCAGCCTGGCTCATATGATCCCGTGGGATGTGTGCGCCCCTGTGTGTACGGAAAGAACGTGGCAGAAGCATATCACCCAAGCTGACTTTTTTTGGTAGGTGCCTCTCAGCAGTGGCGAAATCCTATTCACAAAAATAAGCAACCTAGAGTTCATGTCATCGTTCGATTGCAATCAAACTCAACAAAGAGCTGGTCTGATACGTGCCTAGAGGCATCTAGCTGGCTTCGCGTGTTTAGCTGTGCCTTTGCGGCTCGCCGTGGCTTGGAGGTTCTTGGACACCTTCGCGTCGACGGTACGTGACACCTATCCCTCCATGGCCCAGGATCATCGGAAGAGGCAGGCCTCAGAAGTTGACGCAACTTGTCGTGGCTAAGCTCTGTTTCTCCGCTCCTAGCGGCTGCTCTCTTTCGGATCGCTCCTTGGCTTTTCGTCGTTGCCTCTCAGGTGATCAATGGCGCTATTCCGCCGCTTGGCTGAAGATGCTACATCTTGTGCAGTTCTGTGATCGCATCTTGAGAACCAGGCTGGAAGCTGCAAAGCTTGGTATGTCGGCGCCAGTGAACCAAACAGTAGCCAACATTATTCGCGCGAGGGAGCTTGCTTTCAGCCAGCCCTGAACCGACCTTCATGCTTTGCCCTTGCGGAGCAGAAAAAATGGCACGTGGGCTCGGCAGAAGGGATGCTCCAGCGGTGCAGCTCAGTCGGCCCTGAAAGCGGCGTTGCGCTCCATTGTAGCCAGGAGAGTGGCTTGGGATGCGATAACATGACGCTGATTGCCTTGGCCTCACGTGGACAGATCACTGCTGTCATTGGCACGTGCGCAGGCACAGGCAGCCTGCCCTGAATGTGCTGAAGCAGCTGAGGTGGTTGAGTTGCAGCCCAGCCAAAGGTCGCAGGCGCCCCCACATAGCTGAGAAAGGCCGTGCAATGCTCTTGTTGCGCCCTGTTCAGATGCGGCAGCTGTGGACCTTCCCACATGGGGCAGCTGCGCAGCGTCTGGGGAAGGCGCGAGCTTTGGACATGACATGCAAGCTGTTGGGGAGGCATGGGAGGCAGTGTCTCAAGGTGGCCATTTCACCGTCATCGCGGCGAAGGGTTGTCATGCAGCTCCAGAACGTGAAGCGATCAAGCCGCGGCAAAGCCAAACTGGCCGGGCAGCTGAGGGGAACGAGGCCTGCTTTCAAAGACCCGTTCACTGCACACACTTGGTTTAGTGTGTAAACAGAACTCTTTACCGCACAAGTGCTCTGAGTGTGGCAGATCAGGACTCCTTGACAGTCCGGAGGATGCAAGAAGCATCGTGACATCGTGAGTCTGCCCGGAGCGGTCCTGGAAAAGCTTTTGGGGGAGCTCGGGCGATGCTGACATTATTCAGCATGAGTATCTTATGAGCTGTAGTGTAAACTCATTTACACGGAATTCTACAGAAAAGTCTTATAGGGATTATTAAGGGGGATGCTAGAAGTTTAGACTATAGCTCATACCAACTTCTGCAATCAACTGGATCCAGTGCTTCTCAGGTCCGTGTTTTTTTGTGGGACGCTTTGGAGCGCAGGAAGCCGTTGCCCAACATCACAACGGAATGTGGCATTTTGGCCCGAAGTGTCCATTGATTTGGGCTCCCTAAACCCTAAACCCTAAATCCTGATTTTGCCAAATGGCCACCTAAACCAGTGCTTCGGCAGGCGTAAAAGTCCGCTGGTTTCAAAATAAAAACCTAAATCCTAAACCCTAAGTCCATTGATTCGGGCTTGATGCTTGCAGCGGCCTGCCAGGATCCAAGGCAAAAGATCTTGCAAACTACTATAGTATATAGGGGGTTATATAGGGATAATGGAAAAGAAAATGGAAACTACTATAGTATATTTGGGGCAATATAGGACCAAAGCAAAATTGGGATAATGGAAAATACAATGGAAACTACCGGGATTATAGGGGTTATATTAAGGGTATTTTATTTGGGGCAATATAGGAGATAATATTGGGGTAATAATGGGATAATGGAAAAGAAAATGGAAACTACTATTTAGGGATGATGGTACCCAATGATATAGGGTTTAGGGCCCTATAATGGAGAATCAAATGGAAAATAAAATGGAACATGAAATGGAAACTGGGGTTATATTGGGGTTATATTGGGGATATAGAGTGACTGGCATGAAATGCATGAAATGGCTGGTTTGCTAAGGCCAGCTGGGGCATGGCAAATGACGGAACAGAGGCCACCTGAGGCCTTCGAGTTCAAAGCATGTGGTCTTTTGCTAGCAAGGCCAAGCAACCAAAGCATTTTGTGGAAAAGCTGCCAGCTGTGTTGCAAATCTCAGGAAGAGATTTGCAAGCAGCAGTCCTGTTTACTCACCGATGTCGAGGTCAATAGCAAGTCTGGTTCATCCTAAGAAGACGTTAGCTGCAATTCGGGTTCTATGACTTCTATGTCAACGTGCAATGTCAGCAGGGATTGTTAGCCGCCTGCTCCGTTCACCTGGTTTGCGGACCCCCAGACATCCAAGCCAATCTTGGTTGATATTCCCGAACGCAGAGTGGATTTTGCAAACCGTGCAGCACTCTTCGAAACGTACGGAGAAGCTAAGTAATTGAGCGGTATGACGTTTCAGTATCATGTGATGCACGCTTCGAAAGAGTCGTAGCTGGTGTGTCCGCATTGCCTTCGCAAAAGCCCTGAACTTGTTAACCCAACATCGCTTACGGTGTATGCCCTGCCAACCTTCAGAGCCCAGGGTTTAGGGTTACTATAACTACTATATTGGGGATTATATAGGGATAATGGAAAAGAAAATGGAAACTATAAGGATTATAGGGATTATAATAGGGTATATTGGGGATTATATAGGGATAATGGAAAAGAAAATGGAAACTATAGGGATTATAGAGATTATAATAGGATATAATATTGGGGTCAGAATCCCAAGCCTGATGGCAGCACACCACGCCAGAGCCTGAAGCTCATGAACCCCCATAGCGAGTTTCCAAATGTATTCCTCCCTTCTTTGCTTCAAGCCAAGAGCATTGCGCCATGTGAAGAACCCCATCAGTCTGCAGGCCCAAGGCGTCGTGCAGCTTGAAAGAGGAATTGGAAACCGAATGCCGACCCTCAGTTCTTAGGGCCTCAGCGCCATACACCCTGGCCCCACTGCTCTTAACCCCACCGTGAGAAACCCTTCATCACAGGCACTGCCACAGAAGAGGCCGATCTTGCACCTTGCTTGCTCGGAGAGTTGAGCCAAAAGCAGGGCCCGGTCCTCCCAACTCGTCGGGACTTGCGACTACAGCCCTTGATGTCTTGTGGTCTGGGTAATAAGACAGCAAAACATCCATCATGAGTCCATGGCAGGATAAGATCTATGTTGGACCATCTGTAACCCACCCTTGTTCATAGTAAGATCCTTGATCTTTAGATGCCCACAGAGGATGCATAACTGGGTCCGCGTATATTTCCTACCTCAGCTGTGAAGCCTCTGCAGGCAACTGAGCCTTTTGGAGCATGAGGCAAGTCACCGCAACTTTGTGGAGCCGGCATAGCAAAACCAGAGCCGTGCTGCTATGCTTTGGTACGGCGTTGAGGCCTCTGGACAGCTGAAATATTGCAGGTATGAGAGCCCTTTTCCGACAAGTTACATACAATGTCGGCTGAGTGTGACAGCTATCTTGCTCTTCTTGATAGGACTGCAATGCACATGTGCAGCCTTCCCGAGCTCCGCCCTGCCCGGTAACCTTTTGAATCGTGCGAGAACGCCCAGTTAGCTAGAGAGGACCATGCTTGTAGTCGTTCTCGCCAAGCGCTTTTGATTTCTTTCAGCCTGGGGCCTCTGACGAGGTTGCAAATATAATTCATGTATCCGCAAGCAGCGCTGTGGTCTTTCCCATCCCTGCATGCATGAGCTTTATGGCTGTAGGCTGTAGGAACAATGCTGTTCGCATCGTTATCGCCTGATTTGCAAACATGCCAGGAAGGAGCGTTTCTGATATCAGGATTGATGATTGTTGTTGCGTGACTGGAAACCTCCATGCGTAAAGTCCTCCCATTTTGCATGCAGCACGACGCCGCCTGTGCCACATGCTGGCTCCAGCTGTGCTTTTGATCTGTGTTTGCTGCTTGCAGCAGTTCGCCAGGATCCCAAAGACGCGCTTTGTTTGGGCTGCTGCATGGCGTGATGTAAAGCACCATTGCCATTCAGCTCAGGTCCGTCATGGCTGACGTGACCAGGCTGCCAGGAGGCTAGAAGCGGAAGTTGTTGGGTGCTGGCGGCCTTTCAATTGTGCGGGTAGCTGACCTGTGAAGCGGTTCGCTGCAGTTATTCCGGAATGCGTGTTTTAGTGAAGGTAACTGTGACCGAGCCGAAATGCGGTCAAAAGCAGCCGGCAGTGGCAGCTTGATGCATGAAACACTTGTGCTCGACATGTAGTCACGACGCAGGCGCTCAAAACAGGAGGAGACTACGCCTTCTGTGCTTGACGTGCTGAGCCCTAACACAATACTGACTGTTAGTAGAAACAATAACATTCACAAAAGGGTTAATGCTAGTAATGCCAGTAATAGCTGTACTAACTCTGACAGGCTCCGCCTTCGCTGTGTTGCCGTCATCGAGCGCCACAAGCCTGCATGCCAGAGGCCTCGCATGTGAAACTCCACGAACGTAATGCGAGGAACCATATAAAACACATCAGCTATAGTCTAAACTCCTCAAAGGGGGTTATATAGGGGACTATATGGGGAAGTATTCTAGCACTTATTAAAGGGGATACTAGGAGCTCAAATACAGGCTTAGGTGCTTTTGCAGTGTCAGTGTTACTACTGCCACTACTACAACGATTCTGACTCTTAAAGCTCTAATTGTTATTCTTGTTGTTAAAGAAGTATTCGCACTACCAAAACTAGTCTTCTTCTTACTACAGTTGAATCACTGTTACCATTTTTGTTTGTATTATTCGTCTGAACATCATTGATACCGTTATGGTTTTTCTCAAAGTTGTTATTGTGTTAGTACTTTGAGGAAGCCACTCAGCCTCGACGCCGTCGGCTGCCTCTCAGGCGAGCCCGTTCACGAAAGGTTTCTTTGTATTATAGGCTACTGAAGTCCAACGGCTGTCAGCAGGGCTCGCCCCTTAATCTGAGTGTTGTGCTCCTGCCCACTACGACCGTTGGCTGCGTAGAGTGATGCCATCCCAGAGTCATCGTAACTGCAGCTACCAAAGTCATGCAAGAAAGCGCGACGGATATAGTAGCTACTCATGAGATTTCCATCAGACTCGGAGACTGCAGCTGCTCATGATGGGGCAAAGGCTTTACAAAGATTCTCTACTTCAGTCAGTTGGCGTCAGGGCGGGCGATCTGCAGTGGCAGCTACAGTGGCAGGTCGGTTGCTGTTAGAGCCATCGAGAACAGCTCAAGATCTGTTATACTAGCAAGACATGCAACCCCTATAACCCATATTCTAGCCCCTATATAGCCCCTATATAGCCTTTATATAACCCCATATAGCCCCCCTATACCCCCTTTATAACCCCCATAAAACCCCTATATAGCCCCTATAATTCCTATATGGCCTTAATATTACCCTAATGGGTTTTGACTCGAGGACTTGCAGCCTTGGCAGCACAGGGCCCGCGCAGGCCCAGAGTTTGTGGGCTATGTCATGGGGGCTATACAGGGAATACAAAAAGAATGGGATTATAAGGGGTTATCTAGGGGTTTTGTAGGGATTATAGGGGTTATAGGGGTTATACAAGGTTATATAGGGGTTATAATGTAGAATAACATGGAAAAGACACTGGATAATGAAATGGAAGCTGGGGTTTGTGGCTTATCCGATGCATAGGGATAGGGGGGTATGTTAGGGTTATATAGGGATAATGGAAAAAAGCATGGAGACTACCACAAGCAGGTTATATAGGGTTTAGGGTTTGGGGTTTAGGGTTTAAGGTTGAGGAAATCACATAGGGGATATATTGGGGATATGAAAGAGAGTGGAAACTACTATAGTCTGTTAGCTTCATGAGTTTGATCCCAATTTCGACATCATTCCTGTTACCCGAACCGTGCGGGCAGCCTAAACCCTAAACTCGACCTGAGCATCTTCGTGGACTCGCGCTTCGGAGAAACGGTCCGCCCAAAAAAAACCAAAAACCGATCAGGTCGCGGAAGACCGCCTGCAAGGGAGGTGCTACGGAGTTGCCCACTGTGGACCGAGCCAGGCTTCCCAGTCCAATGTTGGCCCACAGTGCGTATATTATAGTAGTATATTATGATATGTTATATTCTTCAGGTGATGGCTTTTGGGGTTTTTGGTTAGATACATGCAGATGGCGTTGCTGATGGTATGAGCGTTGAAGGGAAGGACACTCTGTTTCAGAAGTATCCAGGCGCCCCCGAGAAAGACCCAACTAGACAAGCTGCACCTGGGATCAGGCTACATTTCGGTATGAGTCAAGAGGAACATGGCAACTCTCAATTGATTTTTCGAATACCTTCAGGGTTTCAGGCAATCTGAGCGTGGCCGTTGCCGTCCTGCTGCTTTAGTGTTCTAGGTCTAGTTCTGGTTCAGCTTGGACGAGCGATACATCATGCCTCGGCGCGTGACCTCCGCAGCGGAGGTCGTTGCGCTGCTTCGTGAGGATGGCTATTGCATCCTCGAAAATGCTGGCACCTCCCAGACCGAGGCGGCGGCGTTGCCGCGGCGGATCTTTGGAGAGACCCTGGCCGCAGCACCAGAGCCGGCCGAAGTTTCCCAGCGCATTTTAGGCGCCCGGGGTATCAACAAGGACGACACCTTTCGTGCACATACTGACGGCCATGCCTATGGAGATTTGTTTCCTGATTTCTTCCTCCTGCTCTGTGCCCATGCCAGTGAGAAGGGAGGGGGGAACTTCGTAATTGATGGCTACAGTGTCATTGATAGCCTGGCAGCGGCAGCGGACACTGCCTGGGTGGCAAAAGCGCTGGAGGAAACGCCTATCGAGCAGACTTCAAGAGTCCCTAGCATCACGCCGGTTGTTCTACGAGCTCCTGATGGACGCCGGGCGTTACGGTGTCGCCTGTCAGGTCCTCCTGCGGCCTTCGCGGCGCAGAGAGTGAGTCCCAATTCTGACAACCCGGACCAGGACTCGCGGATGTTGGCCATTTACCATGAGGCCGTTGAGACGGCTGCCCAAGCGGCAGACCGGATCTATCTAAAGCCAGGGGATGCATTGGTCGTGGACAACTACCGTATGTTCCATGGCCGTGACCCCTACACAGATCCAAGCCGCTTGTTGTGGCGCTGTTGGATTTGGACATCTGCGTCAAGAGGTGTCCCACGTGCCGAGTTGCATTCCACACCGGGCAACACAGCAGGCGTCGTCTGCTCCGATGAGGCACCTTCCAAGAAACAGCGTGTGGAGGCGCGTTCAGGCGATGGCAGCTGAGCAACAAAGAAGTGCGCAGCACACAGTAACCATGAGACATCATGAGACTTTACTATGCAGTGCTCTTGTGAAGACCGTTTTGTGGCCGAGGCCACCACGAAGCAATGGCGGCGAGAGCTCATGAGGCCAGCAGCTCAGCCTTAGCCCGACAGGCTTTGGATCTTTAAGCACTTTCCTGCGGGTGGTTGCACGTGAGGGGGAAAAGCTTGCGGCATGTGAGTGCTGTTCTGGTGTGAGATTTTTGAGTGCTGCAGGTCCGACCAGTACTACAAATTTGGCAGGACTCACGTGAGGTCATAGCTCAAGCCTGAAACTGGTGGTCCAATTTTCGGTGCATGAACTGGAGTGCTAATAAGATTCCTGATTTGGTATGTCGCGCTACTGAATTGTAAATGGCCCAAGCTGCAGGACCCAAATGGAAAATGCCATGAATCAGCTGCAGGAGGCGGGAGCTCCCCCAAAGAAGCGCTTGTCAACGAGATAGGATTTGTACCTCCTAGCTTAACGAGGTCACGCGCGCGTAGAGCGCATGGTTACTTCAAAGCGTCAAAAAATGCACGAAACTGAGGTTCTAGCGCGCTTTCAGCTGCAAAATGGGGTAGTGCGAAACCCTGAAAACTAGAGTCCGTTTTCACGATCAGGTGCGTTTTGTGGAGCGAGAGGTACTCAAAATTTGGCCTGATGCAAGGCACTGCTGCGCGAGGACATCGGAAACGCAAACCTAGATTATGTCCTTTAGAGTGGATTTCGGCTCACTGTCCCTTGCGTTTGGGCATGGATGCACCGATGCACTGGTCACCGTATGCTCTCGAAACACGAACGTTATTATGGTTTGGGCATGCATGCACTGGTATCCGTATGCTCTCGATACACGAACACCCGTAATGGTATGCTCTCGAAACACGAACGTTATTATGGTTTGGGCATGGATGCACTGGCACTGGTATGCTCTCGAAATACGAACGTTATTTTGGTTTGGGCATGGATGTACTGCTGTTTGTGCATGGATGCACAGGTTGAAGAATGGTCTCCGAGGTCAGCGGAAAGGCGGACAAGCATGCAATAGTATCAAAAACACTAAAATCGCCAGGCGATCTGCGCGCGCGTCACCAACTAGCACACGCCAATGCATGCAATCCTGCCCCGAAAGAGTGGAATCCAGGCAATACCGCTCTGGTTCTGCCGTCTTGCGCAGGTCAGTGGCAGCGAGCTACTGAGCAAGGCCAGACGCCTGAGTTCCTTGGAATTCCATGCCCCTTAAGTCTCCCTTCAGGGCAGCAGTGCCTCGTTTGTGGCAACATGCTGTTCCCCACAGCCTTGTCCCGTGTTGAGAGTCCACATCATGTGAGTAGTATTTTATTTGGGGATACTATGGTACTCATTATAGATATCCTCCTTTTGGGGTATAGTATTTTCAATAAGGAATATAATCTTACTAGGTTCAACCACCAAAAAAACGCTACTCATGTGCATCGTGTGTCCCCCCTTTCGCAAGTCCTCCTGATAAGGAGTGCGCCTTTGGGGCAATTGTTTTGTAGCTTCAAATCCAAGCAAGCTCACATATGCCCGTAGAATCGGTGGCTCCTGGCAGTTTACCAAAAGGAAGCCAGAAAGCGTAAGGTCAGATCAGCCTGGTTGGAAGCTTCCCTCCCCGGAACAGAGATGGTGTCCCCAGAGCTTCACAGGAATCTGTACGTTTTTTCGAAATACATCTACGCAAACTTGTATTTGGGACCCTGCTAAACAAACTAGAACTTCATCCATGTGGGATGGCAAGCCCGTTAGCTCAGAGCTGTGGGTTGGATGTGAATCTATGATCCTGCAGGCTGAGACATTCTCCAAAGAATCTGGATGTTATCCTTAGAGGGGGTATTTGCTCCCTTGCAACATCTTGCAATCCCTTTGCAGCTACATAGCTAGGGTCCGCGCTTCTGAGCGCTGCCATTTTGCTGAGGAACCGATTCTCGTGGTATCGTAGGCAAAAATCCACACAGGTCCCTAGGATGTCTACAGAAAGAAGCCCCGTTGGCATTGTGGCCCACCCCTGCAGATCCGGCAGAATGGCTTCCGCCTGACAGCAGCCTGGCTGTTTGGATTTAGCTAACTTGGGCTTTTCCCCAAAGTTTAGACATCTCAGTAACAAATCCCTCTTCTTGCAAGCCTGAAAATAAGGATCCTCATTCGGGATTTGAGTTGGTTAGCCCCAATACAACCCCAATATTAGAGTAGTTTCAATGTTGTTTTCATCATCCCAATATAACCCCAATATAACCCTACAAAGTCCCTATATAATCCCTATGGTCTGGGGTCTCAGTTCTTCTGGGCTCATTTTCCGCAGGCACAAAAGGTATCCTTAGTTTGTTAAATGCCCAAGAGTGTGCGTGGGCTCTCAGGGTCTTCGGGATGCCAGTAGTAGGATGAATGAAAGTCAGAGTCACATTTTTGCTCAACATACAGCAGGGATTGCTTCCTCGAGTGCCTAAACCTCTGAAGGGCACCTCGCTGTAGCATGTGCTTTCAACCATTGAAGGTCGGGGACGTGACTTTCGTTCTGGCTGAGCCGTCGCCTAAGGTCAAGCCGTGAACGAAGAAGTAGTGGCAGGCGTTGAAGGGTTTAAGACCTGGATTTCTTTTGTAGTGCTTCTGGTAGTGGTCCGGAACAAGGCATAGGTGGACCGGATGCAGAACAAGATATTGGATGACACATAAAAAGGCGAGACCTCAAGTGAGAAGGAATAATATAAAAAAGAGAAAGCCTAGTGTACTTTTTTTTTCTTTGTCAATTTGTCGTACTATCCCGAATACTACCTTATGAAAAAGCCCGACATCGCATGCGGCGCTGTACAGTCTTTTTATCCCACCCTTATGTCGTTTGAGTGTTTTGTGAAGTGTACGTTTAACCCACAGTCCCCAAAACAACCTGGAAGACAGACGGAGCCAGCTGATGTCCACAATTACTAATTACGTAATTTTAGCTGTGGCCAAGAAGAGCACAACGTCCTTGCGGCTGATTCAAACATGCCGACTGTGATATGCGTAAATGCGTGCACTGACATGAACAACAGGAATTCTATATGAGCCATAGTCTAAACTCCTTAAAGGGGGTTAGGGGATTATATAGGGGACTACTATAGGGGTTATTAAGGGGGATACTAGGAGTTTTAGACAGTAGCTCATATGTACAACAATTATGGCAACAACAATGACAAGCGCGGCAAGGTCTTACGGCTTTTGTTGGGGCGTGGAGCGAGCTGTTGCGATGGCGTATGAGGCGCCGAAGAGGGATACTAAGCTGCGGGGCAATTTGTTTGTGAGTTAAGCGTTTTCCTGTGAGTGACAATCGTGGACCTGGTTTGGGTCCACTTCGTGATGAGGCCCTACAGTGTGAAAGTTAAACAGCCCTTGTGTGACAGCTTCCGGCTTTCAGTATTTCTCTAACTCACCTCGCCTACTTACAAGATGAGTGTAGTCCAGATTGTAAACGCGCTGAATGGTTTGATACACCGAGTTATGGTTTCGCTGTAGTAACGTGGAGATAACATGTTGACTTAAAGGTCCTCACCGTGGGGGCTACTAGGGGTCCTGGTACAATCAGCTTCTATGCTGGCTACTCTGTGACTGAGTGTCTTGATCAACCACAACGTCATGAGCTAGCAACACAATTCGCAATAGTACTAAGCAGCTTCTTACACTGCGTCTGGCGGCACAGGCTAGGGACTTTTTTCCAGACAAGAACATTTGGGTCACGCCGCAGCCTTACTTTCGGCTTTTAGGTCGGACAGGTTCAGTGGTGACTGAACCCCTCAGCTGTTGCACATCAGCAACATGCTCAGAGCAAGTTTGCTCTTCATACGTCGTTGCTTGTGAATGAGTCGGCGAAGAAACAGTACTGGACGGCTGCGTGATTTGGGTCTTGCCGGCCATATCTTAAGGAATGAGATCATTCACAACCCTTCGGCCGGAGCCATAGAGCAAGTCTGCCTGGGAAATGGCGTTCCTGTACAGTCATGCATCTTTTGTAACTACTGCTGTTTCTGAAAGCCATAGTTAGGCCCACTATATTCAGGGCCCTGACTTGAATCGCACAGGTGAACAGTAATCTGTCCGACAAGGGGATGCGGTTCGTCGAGACGACGTCGGACGGCGGCAAGGCGCCGGCATTGCACTTTTCGGATTAAGTAGTTGAAGTTGACAAATTCTCCCTCAGAGTGAGCCTTCGCACCATGTTTGAACTTGAGTCGCCGGTGATAGCCTTGTAAGCTGGATCTATGTGTCTGTGATCAAAGTAAGACAAGCTCAGTCTTTGTTGCCTGGCTCGGTGGCTTTCACATTTCCATGAAATGTGTCAGCTAACCCGAAGAATGCTAGTAGCGGCAGGCTAGAGTTGTGGGATGTTGTGGGCTTGTCTGCTGCCACCACTGCTGCTGTGCTGCTGTGGCTGCTTTAGTGGAAGCTGCAGTTCAACAGGATTACTCCGGTGTGGAGGAAGGCGATGCTTGTCTCTCAGTTGATTGTACATGCGCTGATACAATACAGTGAATTCTACAGCGTATTCTTCTCCGGTGAATCTTTGATTCCGAGGTCGTTATTCTGCCGGCCTTTGGCGCTTCCATCGACGAGATGGCACTGCTGAAGGCGCGGCTTGCCGGTGCAAGCAGATACTGTCCATTGCCGCTCCATCACTTGGTTGCTCCGAAGGAGCGCAACGTTCAGATAGTGGACACGACGTGCCCCTGGGTGTCCAAGGCCAGGCATCAATTCAGGATCCTAAGGCTCCCTGCGTAGCTTGCGCGTCGCTGGGGAGGTCTGGGCTTCGGTTGAGCGGAGCAAGGCAGCACCCGACATGGAATTGTGCAACACCATCAACACCGACATAAGACTTCCTGTGCTGAGCGTGTGCTGCAGCGTTGCATACTGGTCGGGCAGCGCGCCCGCCTCCCCATGAAGCTTGTCGGGAGTCGGTAAACATTACAACAGAGTGATCCGTGCGGCGTCACCGGCTCCTGGCAGGACAAGGATCACACCGCCATCATCCATGGCAAGCCGCACTGGCAGCGTTTGCTGGCTGTTAGTCTATTTGATCCATTCTCGGGCTTGAATCAGTCGTAAGCTTGATGACACAAAGCCTTGAGCATATTCTGCAAGCACATGCCTGCATATGTAGCCAGGTATGACCACGAGGAGACAGTGGCCACAAAGTCCTTTGCAGAGAAGTGCCCTGCCCACCAGCTGACTGCTGGATTTCAAGCCACCCTGCACCAGGTACATTGTACTGAAGAACATGACAGAAGCTGAGTACGTTGCGGCCTACATGCTGGGACAAGGCGACAAGGAGGCACGTGAGCCGTTACATCTAAAGTGCCCCTCAGATTTGAGTCATGATCCTTTTTTCTGGGGTCTTCCCTCTTGACTTGCTGTGACCTGCCAGGAGTTCATGGCCAAGTTCAGCAAGGCATGCACCATGGTTGTAAAACAGCACAAGACAAGAGGGTCGGCTTGTGTGCCATAGTCTAAACTCCCAGTATCCCCCTTTCTAACCCCCTATAAAGCTCCCCTATATTATAGATGCCCCATATAATGCCCTTCAAGGAGTTTCGACTCTAGCCCGTCTGTGGTGTGTTGGTGTGTGCAAGGCCATGAGCCCGGGCTTCGACCCAGACCTTGACCTGGACCGGGTGGGGGTGGCCAACCAAACAACCATGCTGAAGGCCTTTGGGAGCCAGAGGAGTAGAGTAACCATACCAAGCTGCAAAGTAGTGAATAGATAATATGAATCTTCCTCTATTATTGTCAGACTTAGTATTACTATTGCTCTATTATTTTTCATTCCTATTACTCTATTATTCTCATTTCTCTAGTATTCTTACTACTATTACTATATCATTCTTCTTATTAGTATTTCTATTGTATGAGCATCACTATTGTCAGGGCGAGACGGAGCTCATTGGCAAGCTCTTCGAGCGGGTGCGCGTTTTTACAGGGGGTCTACGAGAATAGTAAGATAGTAATAGTAATAGTAATATGAGAATAGTAATAAGAATAGTATTACTAATAATAGTAATAGAAATAATTGTAGAAATACTGCTAATGGTAATAATAGCAATAATCATAGAGTGCTCTCAGTGTAGGATGCAAGAGGCACATTCCCTGTGGGTTGGTTAGCCTCCCTCAGTTGCAAATCAGAATTCGCTTGCTTTATGATCAGTAGAGTTGATGACCTTTGCCGCAGACCCTCATCAAGAAGTACGGCCCGCAGAACATCAACGCAGCTTGCCTTGAAAAGATTGTGCCTTGCGAAGTGATGGTCCTGCTATGCTTCGTGTACTACATCTCGCAAAGAGCTGACAGCGGGTCTTCAGATGTGTTGCCATTTCGTGCTTGCATCCCAGGAGCACTTCATGTCCTTCAACACCATCTGCGATGCCACTCAGGCTCAGACACGTTGGTGCGTGTGTACAATCTCTTGGGTCCTGTGCAGACTGCAGCTGCACTCATTGTACGGCTAGTGCTGTTGCGCAGAGCTTCAGAGCTGCTCCTGAAGGAGAGACAGGATGCCATGTACAAGATGTTTGGTGCGGAGTACGAGGCGGATCGGCATCATCGTAAGGAAGAAAGGCTTTAGAGCAGTGGTGCCTGACGCTTGGAGCGAAGCTCTTAGGACCGCACAAGCCTGCAATGATTGACTTGCAGGCTCCCAAGTCCGATCTCTACGCGGAGCTGGAGGGGGAACAGGCAATGGTGACAACGGTTTGGTTGATCTGAAGCTGACTAAGCTTCGCATATTTGGGAGATGGCTTGAAGACTGGAAAGTAGGCAATCTGGCGTCAAGCAAACTTGAGTGCCTTCGCAGGTTGGCGTGTCCTTGCTGTCAACGAAAGAAGCTGAGAGGCTGGAGCTGGGCGCCCATCTGTAATCATTTGCTACAGTTCCATGGTTGCAACATGCAACAAGCTGTCCATAGTTGTTTGCTTGGTTTCTGCAGCTTTACCGGGCTCCAGACCACGCATGCCCAAGCAAAGCCTCAAGCATCCACAGTTTGGCCATGAGCCCATTCAAGAGCTGAGAGGTCTTTGGCAGCAGTCCTGAAAGTTTGCAAAGCTCGCCTGCAGATCACTTTCCCCGCTGTCATGTGCGCAGCCTTTGACAGATATCATGCCTTCCGCAACTTTGATGGGCCGCAAGGTGGCCTGCAAAAGTTTCACAGGGCTGTCGAGAATTTAAGGAGTCATGGCCTGATGCGTCCTGTGCTCAGAGTGCCAGGCCTGGCGCTAGGCTTGGAAGAAGTGCAGCGGACCAGTGTCCCGAACACATGGATGCAAAGGCCAACTGGTAAGGACCGTAGGGATGTGGGTGGTTGTCAAAATTCTGGGCCCTTCTTGGATCCCCATTATGATACGGCACCTAATATTTAGGGTACCCAAAAAAGGGACTACTAGTGTATATATAACCCCAATATAGTTTATTCCATTTTCTTTTCCGTTATCCCCATGGAACCCCAATATAGTCCCTATAATTCCTATATTTAGGGTACCCAAAAAGGGACCATAATTTTGACAACCGCCCATCTGTAGAGGGACGATGCGGCCACTCGGCACTTTCTGCTAGGCAGCTGGCCAAGCTGCAAGACTCATCGAGCAGCTCCGCAGCTTGGAAGCAGCTGTAAAATTTTACTATATATATATATATCCTAAACCCTCAACCCTAAATAGTGGTTTCGACTTTATTTTCCATTATTCCCTATATGGCCCCAATATAGTCCCAATGTCATAGTAGTTTCCATTTTATTTTCCATTCTTCCCTATTTAACCCAAATATATACCCTATTATACTATGGTAGTTTCCATTTCATTTGCCATTATCCCTATATAGCCCCAATATAGCCCCAATGTACTAGAAACTTTGCCCATCATCAAATGGTTCGAAATGGCTGGTGATTGCTGGATGTGTGCTGCTGAGGACTCTAGCAACTCCAAAAAGAAGAAGACTCCCGGCTATCTTCTCATGAGAAGTCGATGTGTGGGTCTCCGGGCCACTTCCACAGCTAAACCCTTCCAGCTTCCTGGGTTATCGGGACTGTCTCGTCATGCATTCCCAACCTTAAGCGACATGAGCCGAAGGAAGGCCAAAAAGAAGGCCAAGAAGGAGAAGAAGCGCCTTGCACGCAGTTGTTATTACCGCGTGACTCCTTGCAATCTTTTGAGACGTTGGCTCTTACTTTATCTGTGAGATGCTTGGATCACTTAGCCCGATCATGCTCTAGTCTTTGCAGTCAAGATGATGATGTTTCAATTTATGCTGCAGGTAATGCCAACTGCAATGCCCAGAGCACACCCTTCCAGATGTCCACTTTTTGTGAGGAAGCTGAAGAAAGAGCTGAAGAAGCAGAAAAAGTGCACAGCTCAGGTTTCTTAGTTCTGTCCTTTGCACGATCCCCAAGTGTGCACTCAATAGAGCTCTGAGACACGGCTTCAGCGCAGAGCCAGGCTCCAGAAGCAGACTGAACAGGCTGCTACCAGTCAGCAGCCTGAAAAACCTGCGGAGAAAGACGGCAGGCACCCAGCGTGCCTGCAAGTTCAGGGAAGGCTGCAAATGGCATCATTCACCCTCTGCGTGATGTAGCCTGTCTCGTGTCTGACAATGCAAAACCTTAAATAGGGGGACCCCAATGTAGACCCCACAATACTACAGAAACTTGTTATTAGGACTCCCAAAATGGTACCCCAAATTCTGGGAACCCCCTAAACCCTACACTCTAAACTCTATATCAACTATATAACCCCTATATAACCCCCATTATCGCCTTTGAAAGGTACTGAATTGGGAAACCCCTAAACCCTAAACCCTAACTTGATGGAGGTCAGGCCGCTCGCGGACACCTCCAGAGGACCGAGGCCCCTCTGGATTCTGGGATTCAAAGCTGCATGTCGAAACTCCTTAAAAGGGGGCGTATATGGGTGGTTGTCAAAATTGTGGTCCCTTTTTGGGTACCCTAAATATTTGGTGCCGTACTATAATAGGGACCCAAAAACGGACCATAATTTTGACAACCACCCATATAGGGGATTATGTTGGGCTTACGGTTTAGGGTCCAAAGGCCTTAAAGGGGATTTGTATAGGGGATTATATAGCGGACTACTATAGAGGATATTTAGGAGGATACTTTGGAGTGTAGACTGTGGCTCACATAAAGCTGCGTGCCTTTTCCCAATTCTCACATCCTGTGCAGGTGGAGACGATGGCTCGAAGCGCAAGCGCAAGGAGTGAGGGCGCCGCAACGCAGTTTCTTTGCTTGCGCAGGGATTTCCCGAGGCGGCTGAAGAGTTTGGAGGAGGCCCCCTTTGAACCATTGGGGTCGCTTTGTACATAGACAGGCTGGGACCTTCCTGGATTTGCTACGAAAATGAAGTGCCTTTACATGGCAGCCGTTGTTGCCATGCCGTTTCCTTGAATCTCTTGCCTGACATCACCCAGGTCAAGGAAAATGGAGGCAGCTTCCAAGGGAGGCAGGTTGCCCATTGCAACTCTTCATACATTAAGAGTGCGCTGGTACAGATCTCAGTTGGAGTTGCCTTTTAGCACGGCACCCTGACTTGTATTATCTACTTCTACTCACACAATACGCTGGGCGTCTTGCAGTAAGTGGCCCCCTTGGTCCAGACATCTCCAGATGTCTAAACACTGCAGGCGGCGAGGCAGCAGCCGAAATGCCGTCCAAGATCCTCAGCTGCTACCACGGTAGGCAGACATGTGCATTGCTGGATGGACGCCTTTTCAAGTTGTGACATTAATTGAGTAGCTGTTACCCATGTCAGTCTATGTTTTACTGAGGATTGACTTGCCAGAAGCTGAGCAATGCTTCCTGGGTTTGCAATGCCTGGGCGATGCAGGGTAAGTAGCCAGGTGGTAGCCTCTGGAGTAATGCTACACTTGGTAATCCTCGAAATAACTTCGAACACCGGAATCCTTAAGCATTAGCAGTTGTAGTAGTAGCAGCATTTGTATTAGTATTTGTTGTAGTCATTGCAGGAGTGGGAGGAGGAGGAGTAGGACATGGCATTGTCGTCAGTTTCCACTAAAACGTAGCTGTTCCAAGTTGTAAACCAACCATTTAAAACCAATCATTTTGGTGCATTCTGGCTCCCAACATGGAAGCGTCCGCCATTCACAAACAATTGCCTGTGTAGAGACAATCGCCGGGAAGCAGCCAATGCGGAGAAACTTGAAGCTCAAGAGATTGAAGGGTTGATTAGGGGAAGGCCATGGTCTTGGACCCGTTGCTGATTATTACGAGTCTTTCGGCAGCGGCTGTCTGCTTTTGTGTGGGAATGCTCGGCCGAAGAGGAGGTAGGCTTGCCTGCCGCTTCTGAGGGTAGTGCCCCTTACAGTCGTGCCGAAAAGTTTAGGGCCAGGCCAAAGGCCAAAGTACGAATGGCTTCTCTGGCGCTAACCTTACATCCCAAGCCCAGTAACCCCACACCGCAAACCCATATTCATAACTCATATGGTGGGGATCATGACCTGAAGCAGAGCCCAAGGATTCGAAAAGCTATGAAAACCCCAAAACCAAAATCCCACAAACAGCTCAGGCCCGAAATGCTCAATCGTAGCCTTTACATGCAACTTAGAAAATAGGGTTTAGTGCGTAGGGTTAGGAGTTTAGTGTTTAGGGTCCCACCCAAACCCTACAGAATCCTCATGTTCTTTCTCGTCATCTTGTCAGAAGATTTTGCATTTCTGCCCAGGTGTTTGGTGCTTGGTGGTTACAACTCCTCCAACACAGCCTTTGCCTTGGCCAACCTGGTGTGGATCCGCAAACGATCTGATTGGACTGTTCCCAGCATATATATATATACATATACTATAGTAGATTATAGTAGTTTTTTATAGTATATTTTAGTACTCTCCCTGCCCAGACTCACCTCCTGGAGATCGCGGAGGAAGAGGGTGTGCCTGCGCACGCCTCCCAGCCTTGCGTGTCTTTCTGCTGGTCTTGAAGCTGGAGAAGAGGTATATTAGGGATTATATTAGGGTTATATTAGGGGATTATATAGGGATAATGGAAAAGAAAATGGAAACTACTATAGTATAATAGGGTATATAGGGGATATATTGGGGTAATATTAGGTATCACTAAGACAGTTTTGCTAGAATGCTTGCTACCGGCAGGTATCACATCGACTGTGCCGAGCGCATCGGCATTCCTGGTGGAGATGCCACCAACAAGATCCAGGCTCTTCTCGGTCAGCTTTTGAGTCCTCAGTAGTTCATTCCGAGCAGCGAGGCCATCTACATCTGTACGATGCAGTTTCCATGTTCGAGATGCGCATGTCTCATATGGATTGAATGTTGTCCCTCATGTCCCTGTGCAGCACAAGCCTCTGACCACGCTGCCCGCCCAAGCAATGCTGGATGAGGGCCTTGAGGCGCGGTATTTACGACTTTGATTGATCGCGTGACCATTCAGCAAAACCCAATTCTTCCGAAAGTGCGCTTCAGTATCTTGGGCTCTCGGCTTGACAGGTTACAGAGAATTTCCTCCCGGACGGCCCTGTGACAATCGGAATCACGTCCGGCGCGTCTGGGCCCCGAACAGGAAGGATGCGATTGCGCTGGACATGGTGACCTTGTTTGCATCAGAGCAAAACGGATGCTCCTACCAGTGGCTAACAATACTGAACTTGCAAGACGGTGGACAGAGATGCTCAGCTCTAGCAAGGCAGGTGAACAGATCCGCCAATCAGAGCCACGTTCAGTTGAAGTAGTGGCCTTGACATGTCGACCTGACTTGATGTCTGCAATCATGCACGAGAAATTTGAACAACAACCAGCACCTGAGGCAACACATCATTTCCGAGTGACTGCTGGAGAAAAGGGAAGCCAACATAAACAATACATCCCAGGCACCCGGCATTAGGGTCTCAGCTGCGCTTCCAGCAATGGAAGAAAAACCGGCCGAGGGCGGATTGGCAGTGAAGGCAGCTGCGAGGGTGGGTGCAGTTCAAGATAAATCATGAACGTGCGTCCAGCCCTTGCGAAGGTGGGTGAGGCGATCAGCGCTGAGGAGTTGCGAGGCTGCCCCTACGATGCAGCCGGAACGTGTTTGCTTCTAATGCTGTGTTGGTGCAAGCACTTACTAATGAAGCCAATCCTGGGAGCCGAGGCAAGATCGGAGGCTGCTGTGGCAAGGACACCCCGGGTCTCAGCAGAGAGGAGGTGCTGGAACGGATCTCTTCTCTTCCGAACTGGACCCTTTCACCTGATGGTGCGTCTATCAGCCGCTGCTTCGTGGCCAAGAACTGGGCTGCCGCTATGAACTTTCTCAATGAGGCCACTCACATGTTGAGAGAAAGGCCTGCAAGCTTACATGATTTGAGCGCAGAAAGGTGTAGCTAGTGCGTTCACACTCTGTAGCTCGGTGCATTCCAAGCCCAAGATTGCCCAAGAGGTCAGCACATTGGCTGAGAGCGAGGGGCACCATCCCGATGTGCACATCACATCTTATCGGAACGTCCGAGTGGACCTGAGCACCCACGCGATTGGCGGCCTGTCGCTCCCGGACTTCGTCCTTGCGGCCAAGGTCGATGAGATCAAGGTGGAGTACTCGCCGAAGTGGCTGAAGGAGCACGGGCCACGCGAGTAGCCGCACTGGGTCCCACGTCGTCACGGGAGCCGCCTGAGAGCCGAAAGGCACCAGGTGAGAGGCGCGAGCTCTGCTGACGAGTGCGACGAATCAGAGCACCGACACGAAGGACTTCGACGCTACGAGCATTGGACTTGTAAGCATGATTTCCGCAGCGATGCGATGGGACAAAGCAAGCATGGGAAGGGTGCGCGCTGTGGGATGGGCGACTGCGGGTTTGCAGCTCTGCGGGTAAAACTTGCTGCAATGCTTTCCAGATTTCCAAGGTCAACGCCTGACAACATTTTTGGAGACGTGCTGAAGTCGCTGGCTCGCATGTTGCGCTGTTTGTGCTGTTGATCATGTCTCATCCCACCTATCTGACCAATCTGCATACTCGCATGAATCCCATAGTTTACGCACCTCCCTTGGTCCAAGGCGTGTCCTCGCCATTCGCAGTCTCAATGCTTGACGTATGGCGCGGGCGGGATAGGAGATTCAGCCGCAACCCTGTAGATGCTTGTGAGACAGCTGGGTAAAGCGCTGCGGAGTTCATGATGCAGTTCTTGGCAAACCTCGTAAGTTGCAGGTAGCGTGGCATTGAGAAGGTCCTCTGCCATGCGCGTGCGCTACTCGGTGCCAGCCGACTCCAGGTCTTGAAGAGAAAGTTCTTCAGTCTTTGCTTGTGATGGCCCAGGCTAAGCGCGCTGGGTGTGAGGGCTCCGAGTAGCAGACACCTCGCCGAAAAGGGACTTTGTGCGTATGGCCGACGTTATTGTAGTTGTATTGCTTAAAGCGCCCCCTTTGGAAAGCAACAACACAGGATACACAGGCTGCGGGCGCGAGGTGGAATGCATCTGCGTTCCTGTCCGATGTTCTAAAAACGGTAGTGAGAAGCTTCCACGCACTTATGAGCTGAGCGCTGCTCGCTCCTACCTGGAAGCCGTTTTTCCACCGGTGCGTCCAGTTGCGCCGGGCTAGCTGCTACAAGGGCAGAGAATAGCAACCTCTGCCTGACGTGCTGAAATGCACCTGCCGCCCGGCCTCTGGATTTGCATGTTTGGCGAGCGCAACAGCCGCGCCATTGAAAGCCTGTAGATTTAAGGGATGTGCTCGTGAACCCTGGAGGTTGGCTCGTACGAGCCCCTAGAACAAACTCACAAATGTGCGAGCGACTCTTTTGTGGTAGGCTTCAGACCCCCGTGATTGCGCTTCGAGCACAAGCGGAAAAGCCAGGTGTACATGGATTGCGTGATGTGTGCCTCCCTTACTCCTGTCCAGACCTTGAATCTTGCTGCTAGGTCTTGGCATACCTCTTCCTGTCTCTCAGCTGTTTCTCTAGGGGCTCAAGCACCTGCCGCTCCTCTCGGGGACCATGCAGCAGGCGGCAGTGCAGAGACACAGGGTTTGCGCACTTGCTTTTTTGTTCAGGATCTTAGGCTCTCAGAGTTGAGTACTTTGTATAGGCAATTTGGCAATGAGAGGATTTTTGTATCCCCAACCCCCGAGTTTGCCAGCTTGAAGCCTTGAAGATGTTTCGAACCCTCCGAAAGCCTACTATCCCTTTGAACGCCCTTCCCCCCCCCCGAATTCTGAGTCTTCGAGATGCAAATGGAACACAAGTTATAAGACTTGAGAAGGAAGCCACACCGTGCTCAGCTCTGCCACTTCAGAGGGCATGCCACAAGAGATCATGCACTTGCCGCGCTTGGTGTGCTTTGTGGATGCTCTGCAGGTCTTTACTGACAGATTGGAGGTTCCATCGCTGCAGATGCCGCACTCAATACAGCCATCACCGGTGTCCCAACACCGACAGGCGCTGAATGAGTAGCTCCCAGTGAGACATGCTGCAAAGCGTGCGGCTGAAAGGGCTTGTGAGACTCCTACAAGTCCGATGAATCAGATGCATCAAACGAGGTAATTCTGCACTGGCAAGCATACTGGATGATCCTTACCGCCTTGCAGGTAAGCTCTGCACCACAGACCGCGACGCTGACACCTTCTGCGCCGTGCGTGCAAGCCCTAAGAAGCCTTGACTTTTCGTGCACAGAGACCTCGGCCCTGCAGCCAAGATGCGAAGCCGCAGCACTGTATGCCCATCGCTAAGTATTTTCACAAGACCTCAACGTGCGACTGAGATGTCAACTTCGCAGCTGCTCGATCCAGCGGCGTGCGAGCCCCAGTTTTGCAGAAATCTGTTGAAGTATTCAAAGTTGCATCATTCAACTCATTGTCTTAGTTAGCCAGTACCTTACTCCTGGTTTGGAGCGATTGCTGTTGCATTTGTAACCATTCAATATTTTCAATGTGAGGCTGCACGTGCACTGGTCTCTCGTGTTTAATGCTTTGGATTCAGGAGCAGTTGGGAAACTGCAATATCCCATTCAGTCTCGGGACGGACGAGCGTCGGGGAAATGAAAGAGGGATACTCAGGCTCGCTAGCGCTTTCAATGACGAGAACTGGCCAAGAATGCCCGGGCCTCAAAGAAACCGCAGTTTCGTAAAGAGGATACAGGGATTTTAGGGCCAGGGTTTCGCAAGGGTCTCGTTCTCGGTGGCTGGGCATGTGTAGGTAAAGTGCGGCAGCCAGTCCGACCGTGCTGTGCTGGACGATGAGCACATCCTGTGCTAGAGAAGAAGCACAGGCAACATGCGTGAGAGTAAGCATTCATCGATAGTCCCACCACGCCACAGTAGCAGCAGCTGCATAAGACCCAACAACGGGAGGGTGTTCCAAATCTCTAAGACTCTTTAGGTTTGGGTCCCAGGGGGTAGGAAAGCCAAGAAAGATGTAGTAGTCGTGGTGTGCAGCACACAGAGAGCTCGAAGCAGTTGTAGCCTTACCAGAACTCTTCAGCAGCTGTCTTTCAGAGACCGCGGTCCAGTCGGGATGCTGAAGCCACACACTGGAAGATGTGCATCAGTCGTACTACTTAGTACTTCTAGCCCTGGGATTGAACAAGCATGGGCACCAATAGAAACACTTTGCAGGGCAATAGTTCATGTATAATCTCTATATCATGTGTATTTTCTTCTTCCCTACTAAGCACCAGTAAGTGAAGGCAGCGACCTCAGCAGAAGCAGCAGCTCCGGACAGCTGCTGGAAGCGAGGCCTGGGCTCCCCCTACGTTTTAGGGTCAGGAGGGAATAAGAGGGTATGTTGGGGTTATATACGGATAATGGCAAACAGCATGGAAGCTACTCCATTGTCATAGGATATGTTGGGCCCTAGTAGGGAATAAGGGTGTAGAGGGATTATAGATTTATGTCCCCTTTTTCCCCTACTACATTTCTTGCTTTTAGTGTTTTTTGGCTTGGCGATGAAGGCTGATCGTGCTTTTTGATTAGTGTCAGGAGCAGCGTGGAGCAGATGGAGTAGATCGACCTTGTACAGAAAAGAAAGACAGGGAGAGAGGAAGAGGGGAGAGGGGGAGACGGAGGGAGCGAGGCAGTACGCAAAGCAGACGCCGGATTGTGACAGGACGTATTGCAGCGACTGGACACCAACGAAATAGGAACGTTCGATTTCTCGGGGGCCACATCCCCAGCCACGTTTCAGATAGCTGAGGTTTGACTTTGCAGACATGCTTTACATCATGAGATCAAGTTTGCTTTCTCCCCGGCCTCAAGGCCCCGGGCGAATCTAAGTCCATGTGGTCTACCTCGTTGTCGCAGAACGTTGCGCCTTGGCTGGACCGTGAGCCTCAGTACAGGTTCTCATGTTCAGGTTGTTTGATTAAGCCAGAACCTCATTCTAGGGATCTTGTGCCTTTTGGTTCCTAGGCGCCCAGTTGGCTGCCATGCTCTCAGCTTTGCTGGATGGCATGGCGTCTTGATGCTTCAACGGATCGGTTTGCAAGATGGCAGTGTTCGTGTGTTCTCCATGGCTCAGCCTGTCCCAAGCCTTGATCGGCCTTGAGGCAAAACTCTCAGCCTTGTTCTGTTGTCGTGCCTGCCTACTCAAGCAAGCCGGGCCCTCACAGATGCAGTGAAGACTTGATCCCGGACACTTGACGTCAAGGGATTGCTGGCCCGAGATGTGCTCATGTATATAGTATACAGGAGTTACAGAGGTGCATATCTTCACGCATAAGCAGGTCTACATGCATAATGTATGTGGCAGGCAGCGTCTCCGTGATTTCTCCTATGAGGCGGGATTTGGGCAAAGTAGGATGGACGCCATCCTAAAAGCTTTGACACTTACTGGTAGATGTGACACCTGGCTCCCACAGCCTCGTGGATCAGTGAGAGATGAATTTAGAAGGCCATAGCCAGCTTACTGAACACAGATTCGGACAATACGGGTATCTTGAAAATTGTGATTGTCAGAATAAACAGGTTGATGTGGGAACAGACGTCTCATGTTAGTAGAATGCGCAGTCCAGCATAGAAGGAACAACTAGTGGTCATGCTCGAGTCCAGAGATGTCGTACTCAGAAATTGACCACTAATATTATAATTACTATCAGTTTGTTATTATTCTGGTGATTTCTAATATTATTGTTATTCTTGTTACTATTATTGTAGAGTCACCGCCTTGCTCCTGCCAGCCGCCGCGCAGCCGCGCCCCGCTCAGGCTGGAGGGGACCTTGAGGATTTTCAAATTCAAGAAGCTTTAACGGGATGTTTCCCAAAATTAGGGTATATAACTCCCAATAATGCGAGAACCAAATGGAAAATAAAATGGACTGGGGATATAGTGGTTTAAGCTTTCCCAAAATTAAGGCTACTTTTTTGGAGGATCATTATAATAAGGATATAGCACATTAAGGTCTATATTGGGGTCCCCCTCTTTTGGGAAACTACCTGTAGGGAACCCTTATTTGTGCTGCAGATGACCAGCGGAGAATTTCCCAGAACCCCCTTCAGGTCCCTTGAAATACGTGTAGTTAGCAATTTTGTGGTTCCATATTCCTTGTAGTATATGGTACCTCAAATGGACCTCAAATGATATTGGTAATTATTTAGGCCCCTGTGGTACTGGTTTCGCTCTTATTGCTTTCGGGCATCTGGAGTCTTTC